GTGGTGGACGGTGGCGGTGGACGACGGTGGCGGTGATGGTGGACGGTGGTGATGGTGGTGGACGGTGGTGGTGGTGAAGAGAAGTAGAAGAAAAAAAATGGAGAAGATGTTAGAAGATGTTAGAAGACATAGGTTAATATCTTCTCCAAGAAGACGCCAGGAAGACCTTTTTGAGTGAAATGCCTTCCAAAAAACAAACAATCTGCAGAGCTCAGCATCTGCGCGCGTCTGCGCGGCGCAGACAAAAGAGGCCAAAAGCTCTTCTGGTCAAAAAACAAACACCCCCTTAGTGTGTGTGATCACAACCACTAAGTGTCGGGTAGCCCATTTTGGTGTACCATTGGCATGCCCCTAACAATAATGTTAAGGGGAAACATATACTCACAATTAGTAAATGACATACTTTCCGGCTTAGAAACAATAACAACGTAATTTGAAAGATTTTGAGGACCAAAGTAGATGGTGAAAATGATGTGAGATGACTTCGATGAAACACACAGATAGAATCTCGGGCGTAAAAATACGCAATCTCAAACCTTTCGTGGAGCACACCAAGTTAGAAACCGCATCCATTTGGCATATCATAGCGATTCATACAACCATTAGGCATATCAATATATCACTAACCACAATGACAAAAGTGATTTGCACTGGATGGTAGACTCGACTTGAAAAGATAAGTTACCGATAAGCAATTTTTGCTTTGTGGGATGCACCCGTGAAATGCGAAATTTCTTCAAAAATGTCACATTTTTTGTTCCAATCAAACCTATGGGGCAAACAAATAATGACAACCTCTTCAAGCGATGGAAGACAGGCAAGCATCTCCTCGATAAAATGCATTTGGGGCCTCAATCCTGTGAACGAGCTAAGCTTCAAAGACGAAAGCAATTTGTGTGTTCGTACCACACTAAGGAGTTTTTCCAACAGTCCGGAATCTACACGCTTGTTAATATCCCCAGCCAACTACATAAAAGCAGAATAAGATAGGAAAAATCAATAGTCCAGCATTTCAAGCATGATTGAAGAATATGGGCGCAACCAGAATTTATCCAGAATTATTTACCGTGAATACCACATCTTCAAAGCCTATTTCAAGATGGGATAGCTTTGGACATTTGCACAGCAAGCATACAAATGCAGAAATCCTAGCATCATCTTGGAAACAGAATTCGGATAGTTTGAGTCGCTCAACATTTAGTGCAAATGGTTGTAATGAGAGTCCCTTTGAAGTATATTGGCCAAGAAAACCCTATGAAATCAAATGGAAATGCTCACTTCAAATGCACGGAGTAAAATAATATAAATAGATCACTGTCTAAAAGAAAAAGTCTGGCTAAAATACCTGGAGACTGTAACTGTCTATATCAAGAACGCTAATAGAACTCAAGTTCAAGTTCACCGGGATAAAGTTGCCCGTTTTGCGACTAAAACAATGGTTGATTGTCAAACTGTAAAGATTTCTAGCACCAATGTTAAAGTGAAACAGATTCGTACAATACATAAATGACAAATTCTCCAGCTTGAGAACATCAACAACGTAGCTCGAAAGACCTCTAGTACCAAAGTCACAACATTTAAAACTAAGTGACGTAGCATTGGGTAAAATGCCTGCGGAACTTTGTGGTTCAATATAAAACCATTCCAGATGTAATATCCGGAGTGTTGAGCACGAAAAAATGCAATCCGGCAGCTTATATTTACCATTAACAAAACAAAGCTTGATTTCTTCGACACCTTGTCCTGTGACCAACATCAACAACTTATCTGTGGCAGGCGACTCACACCTAACATCTAGTGTTACAGGCCATGAACGAAGACACACAAATTTCCGGATAGATCCCTTGTGGTGCAAGAGAATGTTGTTGATTACATAGAAACATGAATATATCGTGACGCATTTGATGCCCCGAGGGCATTTCTTAGGAAAAATACGAAAGAAGTTATCATCAAAGCACAACCGCGAGAGACTGGACCACACATCTCTCCAAACCCTAGACAAAACTGCAGTTTTAGCAGCTTGTTCTATAGGCAATAGTCCCATGATATGGTCGAGTATCTCTGCCGGGAGTTGGCTGATTCGATCCCCATCCCCTGCGTGATGCTGGTGGACCACACTTCTCGACATAGCAATTCAGATAGCTCTGGCATATATGTAAATGAATGAACAAATGGATTAAAACTAAAACATAACCCTAAAAATTGATGAATTTGACAAAGACTAACCAAAACATATGATTATTGAAGACAACAATTATCCTTCAAAGATCAGGAATTCATCATATGGCAAAAAAAAATGGAGCTTTCGGTTCGTGATTGTAAGTGACCCACAGGAAGGGCAGATCGGGAAGATGAGATGATTGAGATACTGATAGAGTATTGGGGGGAAATGAGAAAATGAGATAGATGCTCCAATATTTAAAAAAAGAGTAATACTAGGGGGTGTACCCCATTTGTCCTCCACTCTCTTCTCCACTACACATATTTATTTGATTTTTAATTATTTATTTATTTTTATATTTTTTGCCCATTTATGTGGTGGAGGAAGGGTGGGGAACAAATGGAGTACACCTTTAGGTGTACTACTCCTAGCATTTTTCTTAAAAAAAATACTTTCTCAGTCCAACAATTTCTTTCATATTTTGATCTGGGTGGGCATGGAGATTAAAAAAAGTAAAAAAAAAATATAAAGACTTTTCATGTTTGCTTTTGATGTGATGGAACAAAGTAATTAAAAGTATGAGTATAATGACACGTTCATTAAAAATTTTGCCAAAATAGAAAACGATAAAGAAATTGGTGGACGGCCCAAAAAGAAAAGTCGGAAAGAAATTGTAGGACCTATTCAAGCAAAAATAATAATTTGACAAATAAAGAGATTACAAATACAAAGTAAAAGAATTTCAATTTCATATTTGAGAAATGAAAAAGCAATCCATGTTGGTAACCTTGAAGTAGATAACAATGTTTTTTCTAAGGGTAACAACGTTTTTTCTAAAATTAGATTTTTTTTAAACAGACAAAAAATATAGTACAATTTTTTGATGAAACGGAGAAATTACATGAATCTTTTAAACGGAGTAAAAAAAATATTAATAATAAAGTACATTAAAATATATCTAACTCATTTTAAAATATAATTCGATACACGCTAATTATTTTATTGTCCACTTTCATTTTTATACATCATCCAATACACTTCTTTAATCCATTTTATCTTGTAATTTGTATATTAAAAAATTATAGAAATTATATATTAATAATCTATATGTTAAGACAAATCAAACAAGATCACACATGACTATATTTAGGCTTACACATTGAGAGATTTTGATGAGTCAAAGTACTTAGATGAACAGTTTCAAAAGTCAAAAGTGGACAAATATAGCGGGACGGAGGGAGTATTAATCTTAAAATAAATATATACCTTTTGGAACAGAAGATTGCTCCTAGGTAACTCCTATTTTGAGAAACTAATTGCCGAAGTGCCGGGTATCTCACATTTTTAAAATATACTCCGAGTGATGGGAAATAATGCGTGGCTCGGCCCACATTTCCGAATTATTTACGAAGAACAGTCAAACCGAGCATGTTTAATGAAATAGAGGAATAAAAGAATATTTCTCTAAAGATGCTCCAGCTACTCCTATAAAAGGAAGGCTCTCCTTCAATGTTAGGGGAGGCCATTCACTCATTCATCTCTTGCATATCTCTATCTCCCTCTTTAGAAAGTTTTTAGAGTGTTTTTCCTTCTTCTTCAAGAGCTTCTAGCTCCACCATTAATGACTTTTAAGCCTAAATCATGTACCGTGTACACACCTCCGATATTAATAAAAATCCCCCGTTGGCAAGGTACTGCCAAAAAAGGCCCGTAGTTTTCTCCTGATTTGGGTTTCCACGTAAAAATCTCCGTGTTTATATTTTGGTGTATTTTTAGACTAGTTTATCGTTTTAGCCGGGCTAAAAACGATATACTGGTCGACAATTTACACCATCATTTTGGCGCCGACCGTGGGACCTGAACAAATAGCCATGTTCATCTTTTTCTTACTGCAAAAATGTTACGAAAGAGGAGAGGCAGGGGAAGTTTAAAATCTCAATTCTTGCAAAAATAAAGGAGAAAAAAACATGGAGGCGTGGCTTTGTTTGTAAATTAGCCAAACTATTGACCCATTGAGGATGGGATTTGTTTTGCGGCAACTGTAAAGACAAGAGGAGGCTGGAGTCCTCCACGAGAGTTTTTGACCGCCGCCATCTTGGGGTCCGCTGTAGTTGATGTTGCGGCTGAGGTCGGCATCACCGGGGCCTCAATTCTCCACTCCACTCCCCAATTTGGCAGCCCCGACCCATGCTTCTCCCGCCGCCACCGTCGAAGAGGAGGAGGAAGACAACCACACTGTCGGCACCAAAGCAAGCCATTACTCTATCCGAGAGCAAGTAGATAGCTCCGTTGCAGCCGCAATACCATTGCCATGGTTATACGATGCGGGTCAAATCTATCACCGCCATCTTCAGAGCCAGCCATTACTACCGACGAAGCCAAACATCGATGGTGCCACTGTTGAAATCCGTCTCCGGGGCCGTTGGGTTCAACCATCGCCGCCGCAGGGTTCGGTTGCTGCTGTCGCCGGATTCGCCCCTATTCGAATTGACGGCTTGAAGACTGTCGTAGCATCATCTACTGGTATAGATCACCACCGCCCACTCTTTGTGTAAAGATGTTCTCGCCGCTGCTCAATTTCACGTCCATTGCTAGATCTGTTCTTAGCCGGAGGAATCCACCATCGCCACCGCCAATGGTGTTAGCCATTGCGGACGCCGAGGTGCCGCCATCAATATCGTCATCAAAAACCTTCGCCGTCACTGCTAGAGTTTGCCGGCGATGTTGCTCATATTCACCGCCATCATATTTTAAATTTGCGACTGCCCAAACCTCTACTGGCGTCATTATTGGAGATGAAAATCACTATCGCTGGTGCCTATTTGTACCGTCAAAGCTGGTGAGAGGGCTTTTTGATTTCTCTGTCACTACTACTACGGCCAGAAACCAAAGCCAAGGAGGAGAGCATTAATTCATTATCCAAGCCTCAAATCTGTCAATTATTGCATGCACGAGGAAGGACATGTAGATTGCCCACATGGTCTAGGTCGACCATCTATCATCGGTCTCTTTCCCCGGTTGGGCAAGACCCGGTGACCAGAGACTTATTCAGGAGGCCAAAGTGAAGCCGGACGCCGTGGTGGTGCTCGATGGAACGGGGAATTTCAGTGACACCGTCGCCGCCGCACCGGACGCAATCTCATCGTCGATATGAGATCTTCCACATCAAAAATTGCTGCCCCCGCCGATGAAGATTGATGGTCGTTACGACTATCGAAGTCTTCCAAATCTGATAGTTGCTGGGCCGCCTTGCCCGAATTGAAGACCACTCAGCTCAAAATCTACTTTGGCCTTGCTGTAGATCCCATTGGAGAAGAAGACAAACAAAAAAACGAAAGAGATAAAGTGAAGATACTTACACTGATCTACAAAGAAAAAGAGGCCCACCAATTTTGGAGAGAATTGGAATTATTCGTTTGGCCTTGTCAAGAGGGATAAGGAATCAAGGATCAAGGTGTTAATGGGGTCCACCAACTAGCAATATGGCGTGGGATTTTCTTGCTACTTAAAATGGGCCGAAAAGTTGGCCAATGAGTTTGAGAAAACAAAGGAAGACTGGGACACAGGCCCGGACCTGGCACACTGGTTACTACACCAGTCTTGCTCAGTATAAAATAAAAAAATAATAAACCCGGAAGAGGGGCCCGGAAGAGGGTATGCCTGCAAGATGGCTGGACCTGGAAGAAGGTTCGAACCGTACTTACACGGGCCCATGAGGTTTGACCGATATCGGGGAATCAGCCGGTGCCGTCAAATTGATTGGGGACTAAAAGATGTCCATTAAAAGAAATAGAAGGGGATCGTCCACCGTGGCGCGTCCTATTTCCCCCTTCTCAGGGAAGACTTGAACGGGAGGTGAGCTAAGGCCTTCCCGGGATAGTAAATATCAAAGGGTCATTAAAAGACTTAATCACCCGACATGGTTAATTCTCCAATGTTGATCTGACCCTGGAAGAAGGGTGCATTTTGGGCCTTGGAGAGGGCTCGAAACCATCCGACATGGTTAATTCTCCAATGTTGATCTGACCCGGCCATCAGCATTATCTTATTGGAAGACTGAGACACAAGCCTGGCCTGGCACGCTAGTTACTACACTGGTCTTGCTCAGTATAATAAAGAAAATATGTGACCCAGTCGAACTGGTACATTGGTCTCACACCAGTCTTACACATATTTTCCAATAAGCATGAGTCCAATCGAATTGGGTACACCGATTGCACATCGGTTTCAGCAAAAAAGTGAGCAAAGCTCATATTGGGGACGCCCGATTCATTTAAGCCCTCAATCTGAGGCACTTTGATCGAAGATGGTCTCTGCGAGACATGAAGATATTTACATCAGTCAGCCGGGCTAACACTGATCTTCAACAAAGCTACTGCATCGGATTCAATTCTTATTAACTAAGGTCGTTGTCATCGGTATACTAATTTCGTCACGCATCGTTTGCTTGACTCGTACTAACACCGACCTCGACGAAATAACCTTTCGAAGCATCGTTGCTTTATCGAACTGACATCGCTCTCGATACGATAATTATTCGCGTAAATCTTAATCGCCTAACACCGAGCTCCTCGGTAATAATTTTTTGAGCACGGCATAGGCCGGTCAAAAAAAAATGTTGTACACATTATTTTTTGCAGGAAAAACTTCTGATTCGAAAAATTAGAGAATTAATGAAGACTCGGAGGACTAGCATTAATATCAACCGGTCAAGAATATAAAGTACGAAGATTGAAGATAGCACTCGGATGACTTATTTACTTTTTTAAGTTGATGATTCTCACAACTTAAAAAAGTGGAGGACTTCTTGATGGGAAATAATGCGTGGCTCGGCCCACATTTCCCAATTATTTACGAAGAACAGTCAAACCGGGCCTGTTTAATGAAATAGAGGAATAAAAGAATATTCCTCTAAAGATGCTCCAGCTACTCCTATAAAAGGAAGGCTCTCCTTCAATGTTAGGGGAGGCCATTCACTCATTCATCTCCTGCATATCTCTATCTCCCTCTTTAGAAAGTTTTTAGAGTGTTTTTCCTTCTTCTTCAAGAGCTTCTAGCTCCACCATTAATGGCTTTTAAGCCTAAATCATGTACCGTGTACACACCTCCGATATTAATAAAAATCTCCCGTTGGCAAGGTACCGCCAAAAAAGGCCCGTGGTTTTCTCCCGATTTGGATTTTCACGTAAAAATCTCCGTGTTTATATTTTGGTGTATTTTTAGACTAGTTTATCGTTTTAGCCGGGCTAAAAACGATATACTGGTCGACAATTTACACCATCACCGAGGTACCCTCTATTTTGAGAAACTAACTACTGGGTACCTCATAGTTTTAAAATATACTCTGGGATATCTCCAAATATATATTAACTTACTCGGGAGGGACATTCCGTCTCACTCTCCATCAGGCCAGTTACAACATTAATTTAAGAAATAGGGGTTTGGAATTCCAAAAATAACCTTGGTTCTTATACTTTAAGGATACGACATATCCAGTTTAATCGAAGCTTTCGAATGAAACGAAATATCCTTCACTGGTAAGTTAATATACATTTGGAGATACCTCAGGGTATATTTTAAAAATGTGAGTTACCCGACAGTTAATTTCACAAAATAGAGAGTAACTCAGATTATATTTTTAAAAATATGAAATACCCGACAGTTAATTTTTCAAAATAGGGTGTACCCGTGTGATTATATTTTTCAAAATTGTATTTCAACAATTTCTTTCATACTTTGACCTGTCAGTCCAGAATTGTATTTGTCCACTTTCATTTTTTACATACCATTCAATACACTTCTTTAATCTATTTTATCTTGTAATTTGTATATTAAAAAATTATAGAAATTATATATTAATAATCTATATATTAAGACATATCAAACAAGATCATACATGACTATATTTAGGCTTACACATTGAGAGAATTTGATGAGTCAAAGTGCTTAGATGAACAGTTTTAAAAGTCAAAACTAGACGAGTATTCCAGGACGGATGGAGTATTTAGTATTTACCCTACAGGGTATATAAGATTTCGCAATCCCTATGAGTAAATAAACAAGGAATGCTCTGTTTCGCCTTAGCGGAAGGTCAGCCAGCAATCGGGTCATCTTCTCTGCCCGTTCCGGTCGATTACAGGTTTTCCTCTAATCTAACCTAATCCCTAATCAACTTATGGTTTCTGCCCGTTTCCGGCCCGAATTCTTAATTTCGACGCTACTAATTAACTTTTCAATTCTGTTTCTCGTTCCCTCGTTTACGTGTTTGGGATATGTACGCTCACTTTTTTGATGGATTAAATTATCAATCTTTTTTCCTTCACCAATTTAATTTTAGGGTTTTACTTTACCGTAGTGTTGATTCATTTGTTCTTTCTTTTGCATATGCCACAGCTATCAAAATTGCTATGAAGGGAAGTGTGGACGGGTGTCGTGCAGATGTTAGGGATCGGATCAGCGAACTCCCGGTAGAGATACTTGACCATATTATGGGATTTTTGCCTGTTCAACAAGCTGCTAAAACTGCAGTTTTGTCTAAGGTTTGGAGAGATGTGTGGTTCAGTCTCACACGGTTGTGCTTTGATGTCATTGATGATAACTTCTTTAGGTATTTTAATCACAAGTATCGAGCGGGTAGCGAATACTTAGAGGAATCTTTACTTTTTTATGTAATCTCCAAAGTTCTCTTGGAACACAAGGGATCTATCCGGAAATTTGAGTGTCGTCATTCATCGGCTCGGGCAGAAACGGTTAGGTCTCGGTCATTTGACATGGATCAGTGGTTGCTGTTAGTCACACAGCGAGGCGTTGAAGAAACCTCCCTTCATTTTGGGCTAAATGAATACAAGCTACCGGATTGCATACTTTCGTGCTCAACACTCAGGAGATTGGATCTCTATGGGCTGTTAATTGAACCCCCACAAGATTCCCAGTGCGCTTTTCCAAATGTCACCTCACTTAGTTTTAGATGTGTTCAGTTCCGTTCTAGAAATCCTTCAGGCTACGTTGTTGATGTTCCTAAGCTGGAGAATCTGTCATTTATTCATTGTGAGGATATGTTTCTTTTTAACATCAATGCTAGAAATCTATGCACTTTGACAATCGAGTGTTGGTATACTACCCAATTGGGCAAATTTCTTCCGGAAAACTTGGACTTGAGATCTATTCGCACTCTTGAAATGGACAATTACACTCTCCAGGTAATTATAGCTAGACTTATTTTTCGACTATTGTCTATTTATAACATATCGCTCCATGCGTTTGAAGCAATCTAACTTCACTTCCATATGATTTCCTAGGATTTTCTTGGCCAATATACTACAAATGGAATTGCACTACAACTGCCCCTACTAAACGTGGAACTACTCAAGCTATCAGAATTTTGTTTCCTTGATAATGCTATTGCTAGGGTTTCTGCTTTTGTATGCTTGCTGTGCAGATGTCCAAAGTTACGCAATCTTGAAATTAAATTTGAATCTCGGGTACGTAATCTGTAATTTTTCAGGGTTAAAGACTTGGGTAAAATTCTTTCCGCGTCCATGTTCCTTCATTGAATTATGCCTGAAATCCTGGATTGCTGGTCTTTCCTTCTTATCTTGTTTCTGCTTGTATGTAGTGTGTGGAGGATGTATACAAGTTTATAGATACTACATCGAGGGATTTGAAAAATCTCCGTTGTGTTTTACGAAGGCACAAGACGCTTTTATCTTTGAAGATTAGCTCATTCAAAGGACTGAGGCCCCAACTGCATTTCATTAAGGAGATGCTTGCATGTCTTCCAGCACTTGAAAAGGTTGTCATTATTTGTTTGCCTCCTATGTTCGGTTGGAACAAAAAAAGTGACATTTTGGAAGAAATTTTGCATTTTCCGTGTGCCTCCCCCAAAGCGAAAATCGCTTATCACTGATCTTGTCAAGTTGAATCTACCACTACAAATTACTTTCATTGTTGTGGTTAGTGATATGCCAAATGGCAGTAATTTTTTTTGTTAAGTATTTGAATCTTGTATGAATTACTTTGACATGCCAAATGGATGACTTTCCAGCCAAATGCAATAAAAATTGAACTTTCTTTTTGAGACATATGATTGAATGTAAAAGATAAATAGTCATGATTTTAGATATCTTTTGGTTATTGGGAGTGGGTTCATATTTTTCGGGTTTTCTTTCTTTTGTTTTTCTTTTGGTTCACTTTTTTTATTTTTAATTGGGAGTACTTTTTTTTGTTTTCACTTTTGTTTTTTTGTACTTTTATACTCTTTTTTTTTTTTTAAATTTTATAGTACTTTTTAATTTGTACTTTTTTGTTTAAAGTTTTATGTGTCTTGCTTAATTAAATGTTAACAAAAGTTAAGAAAAAAAAATCAATGAAATGTTAATTAATTATGTGCTTTAAATTTTTTTCGCGGAAATTCGCGAAAGTAAAAATTGTTTACGAGTGAACCTACCAATGCAAAATACTTTTGCTCTGATAGTATGTGAAACGCTAGACCATTGTTGTATTACCTTCACGAAAATTAATCGCATGTGTTATAGAAGATTGATCAATTCTTCTTTGTTTCTTAAGAGCTAGTACAATTGTTCCTTGCTTTAAGCACTATAAAGATAATTTATTAGGTCATCGGTATGTGTTTTACAAAAAAAATTGTTAGTGAAAAAATAAATATCTAATTAAAATGTAATAAATGATACTTCCTCCGTCCGGAAATAAAGTTTACATTTTGACTTTAGATCATTTTTATTGAGTGTTGACTTTAGGATGACCCTCCTCATCCCTTCTGCCCTTCCCTGTTTTTTCTTTCGCCTGAAGACCACAATACCCGATCTACCAGCATCACGACGCAACCAGGAGCCCCACCCGGCAACCAAACTCCAGCCTCACAATAAGCCCCGCACCACCACCGTAAGCACCCGTCGACAACTGCAACGGAAAGAGCTTCACGAGGAAGCAGATCTACGAGGAGGTGAAGCTCAACGACCATAAAGCTGACCCGCCCACTACCTCCAGCGAAAGATCGAATGCAATTTTAACAAGATCTGAGCGAAGGTGAAGCTGAAAAAGAAATTTCAAAAGAAATCATCCTTGCCTGTCTTTAACGCCCTTTAACCTCCAATCCACCTGCTCCAGTCGCTGTGAAGCAGAAGCAGTGTTAATTCAACGAGGCAGAGGCTAGAGGCAACGAGGAGTCCAAAGAGAAGAAGAAGACGGGGAGGGGGAAAGAGAGGGAGAGAGAGAGAGAGAGAAGAAGAAGATGAAGGGGCAGGAGGAAAATTGAGAGAGAAGGAGCCAAAAAATGGGGAGGGTATTTAGAGTAGTTTGTGTGTTAAAAATTGAAATGTAAACTTTATTTCCGGACGGAGAAAAATTAGAAACGTAAACTTTATTTCCAGACGGAGGGAGTATACTTTAACCACCCTTTGGCAATTACAAATGTAAGGAAAAATTTAAATCTTTGATTCAAATTTTATTCAAATACCATTGCACATCACAAATACATTCGTTCCTCATTGTATTCGAGAGCTTGAGCTTATACTCGATTACGATCCCTCTCGAGTTGCACTTGCAATATCCATCATAAAATAAAAAAATAATGTTTATCACTTCAGTAAGCATTTTCTTACCACCCCTCCGCCTGACTAAATGCAGCCACTGATCTCTATGTCGTATGATCGAGACCTAACGGTTTGTTTCCCAACACCAAAATGACGAAAGACAAATTTGGTGGATAGATCTCTTGTGTTGAAGAGAACTTTGTTGACTGAGTAAATTATATAAAAGGTCCTCAGTTATAGGTCGTTTTACATATTTAGTCCCTACATATCAAATATTACTAATTTAGTCCTCAATTATTATATTTATTTCCACGAATGGTCATTTGTTAACATTTCCGTTAAGAACGTGGATTGACTGCATCGAAACATGAGGATACCCTGGTATATTCACCGGCCTCTTCTCCAAATTTGTTAACAAGATGGTTAAAGAAGTGATCATTGAAGCGTAGCTGCGTGCGATTGGACCACACATCACTTTAAATTACTCCGGATACTACGTGGGTCTTTCCTTCTTATTTACTTATTGCTTATAAGAAATTTTTAAGTTATACTCCCTCCGTCCCGGAGTATTCGTCCAGTTTTGACTTTTGGAACTGTTCATCTAAGCACTTTGACTCATCAAATTCTCTCAATGTGTAAGGCTAAATATAGTCATGTGTGATCTTGTTTGATTTGTCTTAACACGTAGATTATTAATATATAATTTCTATAATTTTTTAATATACAAATTACAAGATAAAATGGATTAAAGTAGTGCATTGGATGATGTGTAAAAATGAAAGTGGACAAATACTCTGGGACGGAGGTAGTAACTTATTTATAAATTGAAAATTCTTTCGTGTAGAAAAAATGACATAAGTCATTTGGAGATATCATAATATATGAGGGATTGTTTTGTTAGTAATTTGCTCAAAACAAAGAAATGAAAAAACTGGTTTAAAAATAAGTAGGTAAAACATACTTATTTTTTCAAGGAACAACTTATAAGCACAGAAATACACGTCATACATTCAGATCAGATAAATTTAGACCCAATCAATTTGGATCAAAACTTAATAAATTCAGGCCAGAATCAATCAGATTGAGAACATACCTCTAACCCGACTTTTTTGAAAGTGGTTGATTCCACGGGTCATGGAGTCATACCAATCATGACCATTTTTTAGAGTAAAGCCTTTTTTTGTGAATGTATCATGTATCACTGTAGGGGAGTTCATCGGGTCAAACCCGGACCGGACCGGCCCGGACCGGGACCGAATAAGAGGCATTTTGTGGATCGAGGATCGGACCGATTAAGGTTAGGACCGGCCCGGAACCGGACTGGTAAAACTCGGACCAGACCGGGACCGGATCGAAAAAATGTGATTTTTTTAAAATTTAATTTTATTTATTTAATTTAAAGTATTAATTTTTTTTGTGAGTAACATACACTAAACATTGTTAAACACTGTCATTTTTAACTTTTTTATAAAACTTTAAATAAAATAAAATCCTCCATCCGTATTACATAAAATTTGTTTATAATTTTTATTTTACATAGGGAATATTCTACTTCTTACTGAATTTTTGCTTTTTTGTAATTTTTTTGTGTTTTCGGTTTATTTTGGCAAACAGATACATTTTTTTACTATTTTTGTTCATGAGATTGTTTATAATGTTTATTTTCGTTGATTAAAGTTTCATTATTGATAAAGTTCAAACTTAAGTTATATTATTGATACATAAATTTGAAATGTATTAGATCACTAATTTAAAGGTAATGTTTACTTTTTCACACTTTTCATATTAAAAATATTTAAATATCATTACTCATTAGAATTGGTATCTTATTTTGAATTGGAATATATTAAAAATTATATTAAATAATAAAATCAAAACATTTGAAAAACTTTTAGTATTAACGTTAAATTAATTTTAAGTATAAGAAAAAACCTTTAAAAACTATATTATATAAATATATAGAAAAAAATATTTTAAAAAAATTAAATGTAACCGGTCCACCAGTCTGAACCGAAACCTGGTAGATCGGACCAGACTGAAACCCGAATAAGGAAAAAATGAGGACCGAATAAGGACCGGTCCAGTCCTTTTTTTGGGGAAAATGTAAATAGAAAGAGAATAGGAATATACAAATAGAACGGGCATACCCGAGCTAGGAATGGGAGCAACCATTCCACTACCTCAAGCACTTCAACGGGACATCATACATAAAAGGGAAAAACACCCCAAAACCAAGGCACACAGGCTAACCCAACCTAAAACATAAGATGAACATTTGGTCACACACGGCCTAATACACAATAAACTATAGTTTTGATATTACAAATCACACCATCAATATTAAGAGGTTTGTGTTCAAAATGGAAGGCATTACGTTGTTTCCAGATGAGGAATATGGTACACGCCAATCCTATCCTCATTGCCTTCTTCAGAATAGGATCTCCACGTCTAGCCGTCCTCAACCACCTGATGGCTCAGTCCAAGGTTGTAAGTTGGGCATCAATCCGTAGCCAATGCCTAATGGCTCCCCAGATTTGCTTTGACACACAGCATTCGAAGAAGAGGTGGCTAATGTCCTCAACTCCATCTCCACAAAGCTCACACTCCATCTCCACAAAGCACCAGCCACATCGTAAAGGAGCACTTAGGAGGAATTAAACCGGATAATGTTTTGACCGAATAATGCACACCCCTACATGTATGCATGCCTTGGGTTCTAAGGTCCTTAGTTTTATTACTACCTCCGTCCCAGAGTATTTGTCCACTTTCATTTTTACACACCATCTAATACACTTCTTTAATCTATTTTATCTTGTAATTTATATATTAAAAAATTATAGAAATTATATATTAATAATCTATATGTTAAGACAAATCAAACAAGATCACACATGACTATATTTAGGCTTACACATTGAAAGAATTTAATGAGTCAAAGTGCTAAGATGAACAGTTCCAAAAGTCAAAACTGGACGAATACTCCGAGCAAGACGGAGGGAGTATTTCCTACTACAAAAAATACTATTGGTGCCATTTGTGGGGTGGATAGGAATCATAGGACGCAGAACGAGTGTGCTCCCAATCGGCTTATCTTCTTCGCCCATCTCGGGTGAGTTACAGCTTCTTTTCAAACCCAATCGATTGTGTTCCGTATCTATAGATGTGTTTCCCAAGCTCAAACTCTGTCCGATTTCAAACTATTTGCACAATTTCAGCCTCTCATTCCATAAATGCCACCGACAATTTCTTTGAGACATCTATAGATCTTTGAAATATGCTCTTACTATATATTTTCTTGAGTTAATTATAGTATGATTTGGTTGTTTGGTTCAGTTCTTTTGTGTCTGCTTCATAATTTTAGTCAACTTCACCAATTTTAGGGTTATGTCTTGGCTGGCTTTAATCCCTTTGTTGTTGTTTTTTTGCACATGATCTAGAGCCATCTGAATTGTTATGGCGGGGAGAGATAGAATCAGCCAACTCCCCATAGAGATACTGGACCATATTATGGGATTCTTGCCTATTCAACAAGCTGCTAAAATTGCAGTTTTGTCTAAGGTTTGGAGGGATGCGTGGTCCGGGCTCACGCGGTGTTGCTTCGACCATCACTTCTTTCGATATTTTGAAAACAGACTGCGGGAAGAGGCTAACGAGTGTATCGAGAAACCCTCGTGTTGGAATGTAATAAAAAAAGTTATCTTGGAGCACAAGGGGTCTATCCGGAAATTTGTCTTTCTTTTTTCATCTTTTAGGAAGGTAAATGTTAGGTTGCAGCCATGTGACCTGGACGAGTCGTTACTTTTAGTCACACAACGAGGCGTTGAAGAAATCCGCCTCTCTTTCGGGTTTAACGAATACAAGTTGCTGGATTGCGTGTCTTCATGCTCCACACTTGTGAGACTATATCTGCAAGGGTTCTCTATTGACCCACAGAATGCCACATGGACTTTACCCAGTGCTACATCACTTTCTTTTGATTTTGTCTACTTTGGTACCAGAAATCTTTCCAACTATGTTTTTGATGTTCCAAAGCTGGAGGATTTGTCATTTATCAATTGCAAGGATATCTTTCTCTTTGACATTACTACTAGAAGTCTTCACAATTTGACGATCAATAGTTGTTATAGTAGCAAAATAGGCAGTTTTCTCCCGGTCAACATGGACTTGAAATCTATTTGCACTCTTGCTTTTGACATTGACAGTCTTCAGGTGCTCTAGCCAGACACTTTCTTTTCGAGTGTGATCCTTTTATACTATCTTACTCCATACATTTATTGTGGTCTAACTTCATTTCCATATGATTTCCTAGGATTTTCTTCGCAAAACTACTAGAAAGGGACTCTCAATACAATTGCCCACACTAACTGTGGAAATACTCAAGCTATCAGGTTTTTGTTTTCAAGATAAAGCTGGGGTCTCTGCATTTGTTCGCTTGTTGTGCAAATGCCCAAAGTTACGCAGTCTTGAAATCAAATTCCAAACTGTGGTACGTACACTTTACTTCATTTTTCGGGGTAAAAGATTTGGGCAATCTTTTTGTTGCATTCATGTTCATTCAATTATATGCTCGAAGTACTTGATTGTTGGTCTTTTTCTTTTATATATAGTGTGATAAGTGGACAAATATTAACAAGTGTATGGATGCGGCGTCCGGGCAGTTGATAAAACTCCGTAGTGTTGTACGAAAACACAAAGTGCTTCATTTTTTGAAGCTTCGCTCGTTCAAAGGATTGAGGCCCCAAATGCATTTCATCCGGGAGATGCTTGGATGGCTGCCTGCACTTGAAAAGGTTGTCATTATTGGTTGTCCCTATGTGTTTGATTGGAACAAGGAACATGAAACTATGGAAGAAATTTTGCAATTCCCGCGTGCATCTCTGAAAGCTAAAATTCTTTGTAAATGAAAGGTTTATCTTTCCAAGTTGTCGTTATGGTAGATTTCAGTGGTAACTCATATGCAAAATGGTTGGAAGGTAACTTTTTCCAGGTATGTGAGTTTTGTAGTAATGGCTTTGACATGCCAAAAGGATGAGTTTTGAAATTTGAATCAAATGCAACGTAAACATGGTTTTGAGACATTTGATAAAGTGTCTATTTAGCAACATTTTGAAAAAATTATCTAATAGTAGTGGTTCACTTTAATGTTCCCGAAGTTAATGCACCATTAAAGAATTATTCAAAAATTTATTTATGATTAAAAACGTTGTTCCCAAACAAAGTTAAAAAAATGAGTATTGGGATGAGCTTATTGGTTTGTTCATATGTGTTCATCCAACCTAAGTGTCACTACGGATTTTATTTGTTGAATTCACACGGATTTTTGTGTGAATGGCTTTGAGTCTTTGACATGCAAAATGGATTTAGAATTTACATACACCGAAAAAATAATTAGCGAATAGCTGATATGGAGGATTATAAATAGTTTTCCAATTTTACATCATTCATTTAACAATTCTTTTTCTTTTTTACACAACAATTGATTATCTCTTATATATCTCTTGCCCCATTAGAAAGTCGATGTTAGCAATGTATAAAGTGTAATCTTTGCGTTCCACTCCTTCACAATTATAGTTTTATCAGATACAAAATTTTGATTACCGTCCGCATCCGTATCTTTTTATACAAAAACATATTTTAATCTGTTTAAAGTGGTTATTTTATGTATTTGTTTAGTAAATGTGTACGGATTTGGTAATCATACATCTGATATGTTTATAATTCATTGTATATATATCTATTTGAGTAACTATTTGTCCGTGTATTCAATTTGTTATAGTTAATTTTCTCCCATTTTTTATTTTTTATTTTTTATTTTTATTTTTTCTATTAACGTCTCAAAGTATAAGATATTTATATATGTGAAGTACTATATGTGTAGGCACTTACTAATGTGTGTGTGTGTGGTATGTAATTTTTACCACGAGTATGTGGAATTTTTCGTAGAATAGTATAGGTTATAAAAAATAAGAAAAGTATAACTCCGTAAAAAATTAAAATTGAATAAATATATTAAATATACTTGTTTACTATTCATCAAGATCCGTATCCAAATTTAATATTTAATAAAAATAAACATATACATCTTCTACACCCCAAAACAACTTGTTGCACGGGGCCACGTGGCTCCTTATCACAATGAATCTATTATAGAGTATCTCATTTCGGAACTTGTAGAGAAAATAAATCGGTATTTAAGATCTTGACTTGAACTAAGTAATCGATTGGATCTAATCTTTTAATGTGGTTCCGTCCAAATGTCTTATTGCACAATCCAGTGATCTCTACCCCATCCTAAGTTTTATCATGGTATCACAGCCAGTTCTAGCCCACCTTGTTTGTTAAAATGTCTGTTTAGACGCTCATTTCTAGCGGCACCAGTCTTTAGCCCGGTTGTCCATGTAGAATATATATCCAACGGCCTGTGGCCTGTTTAACCCAATTACTCGGGAAGTCCAAACATAGCGGCTCGTGATCCTTTAGGTGTTGGCGCTTAAAAAAACAAAGGGATAAAAGTCCATTTGCAAATGGTCAACTGGTTAGATTCACAATTGTCGGTCATCCGCTGGAGAAGGAGTGCTAAAGAGTCTCTCACATAAAAACTTGTAGAGATCAGTATATAAGCTCTTGAGTACGTTGAACTATGTAATCGATTGGATTCAATCTTTTAATGTAATTCAGTCTAAATATTTTATTGCTCAATCTAGTGATCCTTACCCCATCCTAAGTTTTATCAGAATCCATTTGATAGCATCTCTAAAATTACTTTGGACGATTAAATGGCGGCAAGCTTTATTACATGCTCGTTCAAGCCCTAGAAGTACGACATCGCACTCCATGTATAGTAAACTATATTATCGGAGTGAAATCTACTCGTGAAGTAAATACTTGTGGGCTTTCCAAAGTAAATGTTTTATTGGCTAAACTTCACCATTAATCATTTAACTTTGTGAGTTGTGCACAGTTGGTCATTCAAGATTCAAAAGCCCATATATAATCCTTCAAGTATTTGTCAACCTTCAAATACAGTCTTTCAAGTTTCAAAAGTCCATAAATAATCCTTCAAGTATTCGTCAACTTTCAAATGCAATCATTCAAGTTTTAAATGTTCATAAGTAGTCCTTCATGTATTCATAAACCCTCCAAATGCAATCCTTTTTGCGGTACTTGTTAAAAGCTAAACAGAATACTAGCTCCATATATAAAACTTCCGACCTGCAATGGGTTCTAGATGCCACTAGCTCCATGTATATAACTATCTCCATATATATATATATATATATATATATATATATATATATATATATATATATATATATATATATATATATATATATATATATATATATATATATATATATATATATATATATATATATATATATATATATATATATATATATATATATATATATATATATATATATATATATATAACTTCCGCCGTGATGTCAAATGCAGCTTCCAACCTGCAAGGGGTGCCTGCCGCTGGCCCCGTCCTCCGAGCAGTGCAGCGCAGTGGGTCCTTCCCTCCTATTGTAAATGTTGGGGATAAGTTTACTTTTAAAAATATCTGCACTAAATAGCACTAAAAGTTAAGTCATTTCTCTAAATAGCACTTAAATTGTTTTATTTCCTAAATAACACTTAATCATGTTCATAATGACCAGTGATGGCAAACATTTACTTGAATAATGACTAATAGATAATGACTTAAAGTGCTACATTGGGGAAAAAAACACATGTAGTGCTATTTAGGGAAAATCGTTATGTTTTAGTGCTATTTACGTAAAATCCTCTTACTTTTAAAGAGGTTCAAATTGCATAGTAAAGAATACAAAAATTTAATAGGAATTGTGGGAACTCATTAGTTCTCTATACTTAAAAAACAATCATCTACGTATAGATATAAGTACTACGTATTATATATATGGAGCTAATACTCCGTTTATCTTTTAATGTGTATCGTAAAAAGACTGCATTTGGAGGTTGATGAAAACTTGAAGGACTGCTTATAGACTTTTAAAAATTGAAGAACTGCATTTGGATGGTTGATGAATACTTGAAAGATTATTTCTGGACTTTTGAAACTTGAAAGACCAATCGTGCATAACTCATAAACTTGAAGGACCAATCGTGGATTTTAGCCTATTTTATTTATACATCGGCCTGTAGTATCCCAAGTTCAACCATCTTTGTATAAGCCTCTATAATATCCCTCTTTTAAAACAAAAAAAAAAGTGTCATGCCTGGGGTACACCATTTGGTGTACCCCATTTGTACACCATCAATCATAATTATTATTTTTTTTTAATTTTTTTCCACACTTGAGATTGTGTGGTGAAGATTGAGTGGTGTACATTTAATATACACTCATACACATATTTGTGTACCCCTAACATTTTTCAAAAATTAAACTCACAGACAAAAAGATTAAATTCACACAAAGGACAAAATTGAACTTAAAAAAAATATTTGCTGTTGGGACTGGGTAGAGTTCAAACTTATGCTCAAATCCGCTATTGCTCCCCTCAGTCTCCCACCTCCTAAGGGGTTCGGGCCGTTCGGCAGCGAGTTTTGGTAGTTCTCAATTCTCTCCAGAGTCTCAGCTCCGGCCGTTCAAACTGCTGTTACAGGTTTTCGCCTATCCCACCCTATTTTGTGCCTCTGTGTATGTATATAGAAAGCGCCATTCATTGATTAATTCTATATTTGATGGTAATTAAGTCCGGCGCCTTTTCCGCTTTTCACAGTTACGTTTCATGATTCTGATCGCATCTTCAAATTGTGTCCGAATTCATAGCTTCCGCTGTACTTTATTTTCATGATTTCAACCCTTTGTCCCAATTTGACGAACTGTGAAAAAAGAAATTGTTTTGAATATAGAGACAAGCTTTGGTTACTTGGTCGATTTTGAACGTGTGTGCTTCATTTGATCTCTTGAAGTCCACCAATTTTACTGTTTTAGGGTTATGCCTTTGCTTTAATCCATTTGTTCTTCTGCCAGATTTGTTATGGCCAGAAGTGTGGTCCAACGTGAGGCAGATGCTAGGGATCGAATCAGCCAACTCCCGGTAAAGATTCTGGACCATATTATGGGGCTCCTGCCTATTCGGGAAGCTGCTAGAACTGCCGCTTTGTCAAAGGTTTGGAGAGATGTGTGGTTCAGTCTCACGCACCTGTGCTTCGATAATCTATTCTTTAGTCATTTTCATGGAAAATATATGAAGCCCAGTGACGATCTCGGGGAATATTCATGTTTGTATGCAATCAACAAAGTTCTCCTGCATCACAAGGGATCTATCCGTAAATTTGTCTTTCTCCATTCACGCATTGATAGACTAACCGCTGGGTCGCTGTCATTCCACATGCCTAAGTGGCTGCGTCTAGTCACACGAAAAGGTGTTGAAGAGATTGAACTTCATTTAAGGGGTGAAGCATACGAGTTGCCGGTGTGCTTATTTTCATGCTCAACACTCACGAGATTACATTTGTGTTCCTTATATGTTGAACCACAAAGTTCCCCTTGCACGTTTCCAAATGTTACCTCTCTTATCTTTGAACGTGTTTGCTTTGGTATTAGAAGTCTTCCAAACTGTGCTGTTGATGCTCCTAAGCTCAAGAATCTGTCTTTTTTGCATTGTGAGGATGTGTTTCACTTTAACATTACTGCCAGAAATCTTTCTACTTTGAGGATAAACGGTTTTTATGGTAGCAAACTTGGAATTTTTCTCCCGGCTAGCTTGGACTTGAATTCTATTAGCACTCTTATCATAGACATTCGCATTCTCGAGGTATGGTAGCTTGACTTAATCCTTTGGACTATGATCAATTTATAATGTATCACTTCATACATTTGAAGTGATCTAACTTCATTTCCATATGATTTCTTAGTATTTTCTTGGCCGATATACTGCAAAGCAATTCATGCTTCAATTGCCTTCACTGAATGTGGAACAACTCAGTCTACGGTTTCTTTGTTTCCAGCATGATGCTGCGGCTTCTGCATTTGCTTGCTAGCTGTGCAAATGCCCAAAGTTATGCCATCTTGAAATTTGTTTTTCGGTAAATATTTTTTACTTCATTTCCATGGTCAAATTATTGGCTAAAACTATGGTTAGGTCCATGCTCTACTGCCTTTCTTCTTTCAATTATGCTGGAAATGCTGAACTGTTGGTTTTTTCTTCTTGTTTTGCTTTAATGTAGTGGGTGGGGGATAGAAACAAGTGTATAGATGCTACATCGAAGCATTTGAAAAAACTCCGTAGTGTGGCACGAACACACAAAATGCTGTTGTCTTTGAAGCTTAGCTATTTTGATGGATCGTGGTTCGAAATGCATTTCATTCAGGAGATGCTTGCATGTCTTCCCGCACTTGAAAATGTTGTTATTGATGGAAATGGTTTGAACAAAGAACCTGAAGCTATGGAAGAAATTTCACGTTTTCCGCGTGCATCCGGGAAAGCTACTATTGTTTTTCAATGAATGATTATCGTCTCCAAGTTGAATTTATCGGTACTGATCACTTTTGTTTTTTGTGGAATGGTAGAAAGGCAAATTTTCCATTTTTTACGAGGTGCTTTGACATGCCGAATGAATGATTGGAGTGCTTTGACATGCCAAATGGATGATTGGTTTTGAGATTATGGGTTTTGAGCAAATACTGGAGGAGCTTATTCAGCTATGTGTAAACTTTACATACTTGTGTAGCTACATACTTGGTAAAATTCACAATGACTTTTTTAAAAAATGTTATAAAAAATGTGTTGAAATGGGCTTGGTTTTTTTTTTAAAAAAAACCAAGCTTGGGTGTCATACTTTCATATAATGGCACCGGTCAAACTGAGCCACCTACGGTGTTCTAATGGGAAAAATGACGGTTCTCACTTCATAACCAACCTAACCACCTCCGCATACATCCAATTGCACAGAACAAAATTTGTTGTCTTTGAAGTCAAAATTTTTACTTCAAAGTCCAAAGTCACATTCCTTAAATCTCACCTTTTTTATAGTTTGGAAAAGTTTTATGTTTACTATTTAAATTATAAGTGAATTTGTATTCATTCATGTATCCACCTTTAATTTTATCACCCGAACAAGATGATTATGTTATTATTCTCTATATTGTTATACTATGTAACAAATAGGTGCATTGTGACATACTCCATATATTCTTAAGTAAACATTGATATTACTAAAATTGTTTTTTTATTCTTTCTTACACCATAGTCACAATGTCATTTGGCTTTAATTTTAGGCCACCTTAGGACACAGAAGAGAGATGTAATTGGAGGTGGACGTTTTGAGGAAAACGCAATAGAGTGTTTTTAGCCTAATGACACCGTGGGAGACGGCGTGCAGGTGTTATTTGGCACCATATTCAGCTACCTCAGCCATGCTCTTAGATATGTCAAAGCATTATACCAAAGACACTTAAACATAAAGTCAAAATGATGATGAATGGCACCCCATATCATTAGGCAAAAATTTATAAATAGGTGAATGAAGAGGTAGCCAACATCACTTAATATGAGCAACATCAAAGGTTTCTTCTCCAAAAAATGTATCAACGAGCCACAAAAGGTCACAAAATAGAAGTTTAACAATGTTAAGAACCTTTGGAAAAACACAAATCTTGAGTTGAATAAATTCAACATCCCACAGACGTATATGATACGGTGTATATGGGTAAGATTTCTTGACATTGAAAATATTGACATTAAAATGATCTAGACATTTACGGTACTCTGTTGGTAAAAGTGATAAATGAGACAGCGGGAACTTCTAAACAAACGGGGGACTGAGGTAAATGGAAATTTAGTTGCCCAATTCACAAGTGATTACTGGAATTCTTCAATAGTTTGTTGTATCTTGGGTACCAATCCACCATTGGGAATGGTAAAGGGTTATGTCAATCGTATATGGAATCTATTTCCTATAGACAGTGTGGAGGTATTAGCAGAAGTAAAGTTTATAGTGACCTTTGATAAAGAAGAAGACATGAAAGAAGCTATTAAAAGGAAGTATTACTATTTTGATAATAAGCCCGTTCTGGTCCAGCAGTGGAAGCCTGGGAAAAAGATTAATGTTGAAGACTTGACAGATATACCTATATGGGTTCAATTTCATGATTTGAATGTTTGGAATCTAGAATTAGAAGGAAGACATATGTGGCAACTGATTAGTAAGCTTAACATCGTCTTAAAAGCTGATCTCAAGAGACTGAATAAGGATAAGTTCTCCTCCATCTTCCGACGTTTTGGTCCATTTGGCCTTGGAGACCTCGTTCGGCACCGGAGCCCATTTCGCGTGCCCCGAAAATATTTCTCACGCTTTCAAATATGCAAAAGAGGTATTATATTGTGCATGGTACTTTAACAATGCCGATCTTTGAACGTCATCGTCACTTATCGCACTTTGCCGAGTGAGGCCGGTGGAGTTGTAGATGCCGACGAACTTGTTGAGTTTTGTATTCAAGTCGCGGTATTTGGAGGAGATAGCATCGATGCGGTGGTAGGGCTTTAGGTTCATCAGCGTGTGGAATTGATTAGTGACCCTACGCCTAAAGCCGTCTGCGATTTGGACATTCTTTTTTTGCGAAATAAAACGAAAAAATGTTAAGAAAAAATATTAGAAAAAATTGTATAAATGAGTAGGTAAATTTTTTGGGAAAAAAATGAACCTTTAATTGGACCTTCAGAAACGTTCACCCACGTCCCGACCAACGCTTCCTTCTTCGTCAGCGGTCACGCAGGCTTCGTCCCCTGACTCATCAAACCGTCTTGGCACACGACTTTCCGTTTAGAATTTCAGAAAGATTGCATCTCCGGAACATTCTCAACACGGTTCTCCAAGAGGAGTTTTGGGCTTGTCGTTCCCGAGACTTGTTGAGAATTTCCTAATAATTGTCTTTGCCACTCAAGAAATTGCAAATAGGAAGGATTAATAATGTGATTTTAAAAAAAATGTTTAGGGAGGGAAGAGGCAGAGAGAAAGTGTAAATTTAAAGGGGGTATAATGAATTAGAAAAAAAATCGAAAAAGATATGTGGTGAATTTATTTTCTTTCTTTACATATTTTTCATGTCACCTCTTTGTATTTTTAAGTATATTATAAACATAAATTTATTTTCAACTTTTAGACCAATTATTAAATATATTATAAATAAAATTAATTTCACTCAAACATCATAAACCAGTAAAAAATCATGGGACAGAAGTGCATGTTTTAAAACAATATCAAATATTCTAAAATCATACCAAATGTTATATAAACCAAAATACAGAGTATGACATTACTATGTTACGTTAACAACTAATTAAAGAAAATAATTAAAGAACAAAATGGATGTGAATCTTTTTAGTACTATTGACTCGATTGCAACGTAATGGTCATATTTGTTTATACTTTTTTCGATATAATGACACACATTGAACAAATATTACAAACAATCAACAAACCCCAACATGTGGACAAAGAAGATGATGAAGAAGAAATAAGAAAAAGGAAAGTCACTTAAGGCTCCGTTTGGTACACGGAATTCAAACTATGGAATTGGAATTGAGGACTTCAATTCCAATTCTGGTATTTGGTAGCACAAAAATTATATGGATTTAGAATTGATAGTGCAAAAAATGAATTGGAATTGGTGAATTCAATTCTATGGAATTGATCCCATGGAATTTCAATTCCAATTCAATTCCAATTCTATCAATTCCGTATACCAAACAGACCCTTAGAGTATTTCTTAAATTTATTGTGACAAAGAGCAATTCACACAAAATTGACATAAAGAATAATTCCTCTGTTTTTAAAACACTTCTTCTATCATTTTTTTCACTTTCCCCAAAACATTTTCACTTTTTATTAAAAAACCAACTTTATCATACTCTTTCTTACCCTAACTATCACATCATACTTTTTCACTAATAATCTATATATCACATTTTACAATTATCCATCACATCAAGGACAAATTAGAAAGTCTACTATAAATATTCACTCCTTATTTCACCCATTAGTCAACTTAGGAACTATTTTTAGAATCATCTAAAAATCCTTGAGCTTCGTCCCCTGACTCATCTAACCATCTAGGCACACGACCTTCCCTTTAGAATTTCAGGAAGATTGCATCTCCGGAACATTCTCAACACCATTCTTTGAGAGGAGTTTCGGGCTTGTCATTCCCGAAACTTGTTGAGAAGTTCTTAAAATTATCGTTGTCACTCGAGAAATTGCAAATAAGAAGGATTAATAATGTGATTTTAAACAAAATGTTTAGGGAGGGATAATTTGTAAATAAACGAGGCAGAGACAAAGTGTAAATTTTAAAGGGGGAATAATGAATTAGATAGAAAAATCAGAAAAGATATGAGGGGAATTTATTTTCTTTCTTTACATATTTTTCATGTCACCTCTTTGTATTTTTAAGTAGTATTGAGTATATTTTAAACATAAATTTATTTTCAATTTTTAGACCAATTATTAAATATATTATACGGAGTATATAAAATTAATTTCAGTCAAACATGATAAATCATATTGTAAAGAATCATGGGACATAAGTACATGTTTTAAAACAATATCAAATAATCTAAAATTAAACCAAGTGTTATATAAACCAAAATACAGAGTATGACATTACTATGTTACGTTAACAACTAATTAAAGAAAATAATTAAAGAACAAAATGGATGTGAATCTTTTTAGTACTATTGACTCGATTGCAACATAATGGTCATATTTGTTTATACTTTTTTCAATATAATGACACACATTGAACAAATATTACAAACAATCAACAAACCCCAACATGTGGACAAAGAAGATGATGAAGAAGAAATAAGAAAAAGGAAAGTCACTTAGTGTATTTCTTAAATTTATTGTGACAAAGAGCAATTCACACAATATTGACATAAAAAATAATCTCTTCTTCTTTCATTTTTTTCACTTTCCCCAAAACATTTCCACTTTTTATTAAAAAACCAACTTTATCATACTCTTTCTTACCCTACATATCACATCATACTTTTTCACTAATAATCTATATATCACATCTTACAATTACCCATCACATCAAAGACAAATTGAAATGTCAACTATAAATATAGACTCTTTATTTCACTCATTAGTCAACTTAGGAATTATTTTTAGAAAAGGAGAGAGTATATAACTTCCTACCATTTCACATCTTAGTAATCCCTACAATGTGGAGAACCATGGCGAATCATTATATACTTTATGGGTCCAATTTTGTTTACAATTTTAATTTTTTTCTCTTTTCGATAATTCTTATTTATTTTTGTGTTTTGATTTATTATTTGATAACATAAAATATTTTTTTCGTTTTGTAAAATTTTTGATATAGTTTTTTAATATGTAATTTTTATTTCTTATTGATGAACCAAATAACAAATAAAATAATTTCAAAACTAGTAAGATTTTATCTCGTAATTCCGATTTTGTGATCAAAATAGGACGAAGTGAGTATATATGTTCATATATTGTAAAAATACCGTATGATATTTCAAAACTATACATCGAAATGAGTATGTTGATATAAAATTTATATTACTTCCTCTGTCCCCTGTATTTGTCCACTTTCATTTTTACACACCATCCAATGCACTTCTTTAATCCATTTTATCTTATAATTTGTATATTAAAAAATTATAAAAATTATATATTAATAATTTATATGTTAAGACAAATCAAACAAGATTACACATGACTATATTTAGGCTTACACATTGAAAGAATTTGATGAGTCAAAGTGCTTAGATTAACAGTTCCAAAAGTCAAATGTGAACAAATACAGGGGGACGGAGGGAGTACAATTCAATATACTTTTTTCATCATTTGTGGTCAAAATTAAGAAAATTGACGGCCAAAATTAAAAGAGGGCGAGAGATATAGGACGGGGGCGTATATGAAAGTACATTTGTATGTGAAGACCATTGGGTAGATGGGTTCTACTCCCTCATAGTGTCTTCCATCTTATTTTTGAAGATGTGATTTCAATTAATTGGAACTGATTTACTATAATAAAAAATTAGAACTGATTTGATAAATTTTAATTTAATTAGACCTGATTTAATTTAATTTTATTACTATTTTATTTAAATTGTTTCATCTGTCTAATTTTAATAAACAGAGTAATACTATAATATTTTTTTTATTTTTGACTTTCTGTAATCAACTTTATTGATCTTCAACTTTTTTTTTAAACAAAGACCATATTATTAAACCAATCAACAATACATACATAGTCCCAAACTAAAGTTTAACTAGTATTCCTACCCGTGCAACGCACGGGTTCGGACGAATTTTTTTTACTCAGATAATTTTTTTATCTTATTTATTGATATACCATAAATTTTTGGTAATTGAAATGCATGCATATATAAATTGAAAAGAGCATATAAATGTATAAATAAAATCTATATCTTTTGAAATACTTCAGGGTAAATTACATTTTTGGTGAAATTGCAAGGGTTACCGCTATCGTCTAAAACTAACACTTTCAATCCTGCCTTTGTTTTCACTCGTGAAACTGCAACATAAAGTTGACCGTGAGTGAATACTGACTTGCTCAAAGATAATCCAACAAATGACAATGTTTGCTCTTGACTCTTATTGATAGTCATGGCAAAACATAAAGATATTGGAAATTGTCTTCTTTGAAACTTAAACGGTAATCCAGGATCAGATGGTACCAAATTCATTCTTGGTATGTAAACTTTCTCCCCGGCATTGTTTCCGGATACAACGATTGCACCGATAACATTTCTCCGCAACTCTTCAACGATTAACCCTGTACCATTACACAACCCTGATGTTTGATCAACGTTTCTCAATAACATGATCGGTACTCCTTTCTTCAAAACTATTTTGTGATTTGGAATTCCAGAACATTTGATATCGTTCAAAAACTCAGTCGTTATCCAATCGCCATCTATGCCGACATCTGAATCTGCTTGGCATGAAGAATCTGAACTCAAATATTCTTTTTCATCACCATGAATAAGAGACAAAACAAATTCATTGATCATTTCAACAACTTCAAGTGTGGGTGCTAATAACGCTCTATCCATAAAGAAAGTATAATCTTTCATATTTTCCAATAAATCTGGATATGTGAATTCCACAATACTCTTAAGCGGAGTGCTCGAGTTAAGAATTAAGCCAGTGGTATTTCAATATCACCAATATCATCATTAACCACGCCAAGCTGTCCATCTCCAAATTTAATTATCCAGTACGAAAAGTTTTTGTGTCATTATCTTCATAGATGGATGCAGATAAATACAACCTCATATTCCTTGTTAACGTGAAGACCTTACAAAATGACCACAAACTCGAGGAATTAATTGTAGCATCTACAGTATCCTCTCTTGAAGCTCTTGGCAAAACTGATAGGATTTGACGAAAGTCACCCCCAAGCACAACTGTTTTTCCCCCAAATGGTTCATTTGCAGCGTTTTTATTAGAAAACCGCATAATATCTCTCAACGTGCGATCTAATGCCTCAAAAGCAAATTAAATTTATTCATCATACATGCTTCATCCCATATTATTAGACTCGCTTGTTGGATTAATTCTGCTTTAGGGCTTCCTTGTTTGATTGCGCACGTTAAACATTCAGTTAGTGCCAAAGGGATCGAGAATCTTGAATGTGCTATCCTACCACCAGGTAATAACAATGCTGCAACTCCACTGGATGCAACATTTAAAACAATCTTGCCTTTCGATCTAAGTGCTGCAGACAATGATTTCCAAAGGAATGTTTTTCCAGTTCCTCCATAACCATACACAAAATAGAAACCTCCTTTACCATCTGTGACAACTTGCATTATCTCATCGTATATTTTCCTTTGATCATCATTCATCGTTGATAAATATTTCTTGAGATCAATTGACAACTTTTCTCTGTCATAGTTTAGCTCTTCAACTAAGAAATTATTCTGGAATCGATTAAGTGGGTTGTTAACTGGAAATGGCATGCCACTGAACTCCTTTAAAGATCGTCCGTTTGAATTAAGTAATTTCTCAATCTCAATCAAGTATAAATTTTGGAGATTATCAAGCAAGATGGTAAGTTCTGCAAAACAAATGTTCATTAAAATATTTCTAAATAATTTTTTTGAATCAAAATATTTAAAACTACACATATTAACTAAACAAAAAAAGATAATAATGTAGCACATTATAAGAATACATTGTAAAACAGAATAATAAAATTTTCCTAATACTCCATGACTTTTGCTTAAAAAATTAGAGCAATGCAGCTCTTTTATAAGATAAATTCCTAAATAGACAATCATGTAGTAGAGTAATTCACAAATCGCCTACAAAAAGACAACTTTAATTAAATTTAGGATTTTTTATCATTTTAAAAATGTGGTTAGTTTTGATGGTGTTTTTGCCATAACGATCATGTTACAGTAGATGAAGTCCATGTTTACTAATACCTACAACAATATTTTGTTTTATCAAATGGTTTTTTTCAAAAATTCACATTTTCACTATCACATACTTCAATTATAGGTCTAACTAATAATAACAATGAGTTAACCTAACAAATTAATTACCTAGATTGCGCAATAATCTTCTTCGATCATATAAAATCCCATCAGCCAATAGTTCCCATGTTTTCTCCCACACAACACACGGACGACTCATGGCATTCGTCACCAACAATGTGACGAACAACTTTCTCAACTGATTTCCAGAACCAAGCTCGACAGCCTCTTTTATACCTTCAACGAATTCTTTATCATCGATTAATAATCCCAACGCTTCACACGCAGACTCAAATGAGTTGTGTACAACATTGTTTACTGTCCTCAAACTTTGATAACTGGTGCATCCTCGTTGGACAGTCAAGAGCAATCTCAAGTAATATAACTCGCCGGTTCCTGTTGGAACATAATGGAGTCGGCCTAACGATGGTCTTTGCTTTCTCGGAAACCATCATTGTTTTTTTTGTCATACACAAAGTGTCCTGGGAACTCCGCATAAGTTAAATTATGCCCCTCACTGTACTGTGTATTGGTTACCATCCAAGCCTCAAACATTGAAAGACGTTCAATATTTTCTTCAACTACTTTATTAACTTGATAAATTTAAATAAGTGTATATTCAATCATGTCTGGCCAACTTAAAGATTACAGCAATGCTATGAACAGAACAAATGGCACATGAAATATTCACAATAGGATGCAAATGTATAATTGTCTAAAGTTATATAAGAGGATAACTTGGAGAAAGCATTAATACTCCATATAATTTTCTATCTCTTGACTATTACTCCGTACAACTTTTCACATTAAGTCTGCAACATCAATCAAACAATTGTTGTTGTAGTAGTCCGCAACTTCAAAACCAACATACTTTTATCCCAATGAATCATGATTGTGTTTCCATTAGTAAAAAATTGACAAAGCAATCTCCATTCATTATTGGATAAAATGGAAATTTCGATCTTGGTGACTTGTTTGGAAAGATGAGAAATTGAAACTTAAAAATTCAGCCAATAACCTGTACAGAGAAGAGAATTGAATTTCAAACATGACAGGATGGTGCGGCATCACTGCTCCAATTGTCTGGATTCGTCCAGTATCGGCCTGCCCCTCTGAATAATGCTTAATGTTAGATAATGTTATTACTATCTCTAGATAATCAACAACAAAGAGAAACAAAAATTATAATTTAAAAATAGAATTTAATTAAGAAGAATAATAATGAGCTGTTACCTTTACACTTTCTGATGTTGAGTTGAGGTTGGNAATAAAATTAACCCCTTCACACTGCAATACAAAATTTCCCCCGTTATATCACAACAAAGGACTACAACAGTTATCACCGAATTCATTTCAGGAGCAAACGATAAACACGTAAGCACACTTTATGTATAATTAAAAAAAACTAAAGATCTGATCTTTCATATTAAAAGAGTACAACCTATTTTTTCTTGTTTTTTCATTTATTTCAATAAAACATATATTGCATTTTTTTTATTATAAGCCAACAATACGCACAATATAAAAAAACATTAGAGATATGGTTAAAATTTCAATCAAATAAAAAATAGGGGGGGTCATTATCTTGCTAAAAAAAGTAAAAAAATTAACTCTATATTAGTTTAATACTTCATTAGAAACATTTTCAAGGTGTGGACAGTCTAGACACATAGATAAATAAGGTGTGACCAAAAGAGTAAAACAAATTACAATATAAGAATACGGAGATGTCAATCGATTATATGAATCACTACTTGAGTCTAATTCACCAAGACTAAACACAGTTCTCATGCATTTTTCAGTGAAGAAAATGAAACAAAAAAGACATTATGCTTGAAAAATTAAAAAAAAAAAACATCCAAAACCCCCAAGACCAAAGCTCAAATAATGAAAGTGTAGCATGAACCATTTTACTGTTTGACTATTAACATTCTCAATTCCTTGCTGCACAGTGCACACTTGTCCCATAATGATCTTTTAAAATAAGACAGATAATTAAACAATAAAAAACCACCATAAACCATTGCAAATATATACTTCACATTTATAAAACCTATCAAGATGTAGTCATCGACAATACTGATGCATTCAATTTTTTTAACACCCATAATCAAGAACTCCAATCTAGCAAATGAGTTGGTATAAAATTGGAGCATCATTTTGTTTTTTCATGCTCCCTTATATTCCAATTAAATCTATTCAATTAAATGTAATTGAATTGTAATGAGACTGAATCCACATCTGTTAAGAGAAAAACTCAATCATTGCAATGAAAACAATAATTAGGAAATTCCACTCACCTGATCTGCATACCCCAAAAGCCATAAATGAATTTGTAAGTATCCAACCCAACATGCACATACCCTTGCGCCACAAGATCCTATGCCGCACGGACAAACTCAGAGACCACTTACGGGGAATGATTTCCTTTAATTTATTTTATTTGGTGAAGAAGAGACTTCGCATCTCAAATTTGGATCTCAATTTTGACATTTTGGATCTTAATCAAAAGAGAGAATCAGCTGAATAGCTATGGATTTCGGCTAATTTTGGTATTTTTAATCTCGATTTCGGTATTTTCGATTGAAAGGAACGACGGGGAAGGAAAGAAAATGGGGAAGGAAACTTGCGGTCTCCGAGCGAAAGCTCCGCTGATTTCTTCCTAATTTGTTTAAGTTAAAAAGTTAATAGGAAAGCCGTTGTTTAATTCTCTCAGCCCCTCACAAATTTTTGTCTAAAAATTTGACACATCATCTATGTCACATGTCACATCTTAGAGTTGCCAAATGTCAAATTCTTGTAAATTGGAGTCTCCTTTATATATATAAAGGATTTTAACAACGGAAATGGATTAAAACATATCAGACAACCCAATCTTTTGCCCAATTGCCATTACAATGGTGCTCTTCAGATTCTCGGCCCAAAAAGGTGGAATCGTCCACCCCAGGTGCCCCACTCCTCAGTCGGCCAAGAACACTAGACCCGTGTCCGCCGCGCACAAGGAGTCTTCTCACCCAAAACTAATTAAGGTAGGGTAAACTTTTTATAGTGATTAGCCCCACCGCTTACGCGGCACCATTCTTCAGATTCTGAATCACATACGTTCTAGTCATCTCTTTGTGGCAGTGAATCTTTGAGCTCTTTGCCTTCAGAGCCTTATGAATTGATATTGCAAAAGAACAAGTACAGAACATATGATCTACAGTTTATACTTCCTTCTCACACAGCACACACTTTGTATTAATATTCATGAATTTACTCATCCTATCCTTAGTGAGGATTCTCCTTTTCCAGATAAGCCAAGCAATGAAGCAGTGTTTGAGTATGGATAATTTATTCCAGACCAAATCAGCCCATTCTACTTTGGTATGCACTCCTCTGAGCCGTTCATATCCCGCTTTTATGTAAAGACGTAGATGCATCAATATTTTGTGCTAGTGTGGTGATTTACAATAACAAAAAATATCAATATAATTTTGTATTGAACTAGCATTTTGTGTTACTGTGAACCGTTAAAATATTGTTGCATCCCTTCGGAGTACACCAAATTAGTTCTCTAAGTATTGAACGATATCATTTCTTTGTGTACTATTGACTCTATTACAAGGTAATATTGTTCATACTATTCTCAACTTAATAACGCACAAAGAATCAATTTTTCTATCTCCATTAGGGCGCGAACTTGGGTGAATTCCCCCATGAATTATGAGGATTGAGCTTCCTACACTTTATATTTTAATATATTACTCCCTCCGTCCGGATTTTAAGTTCCCATTCTACGCTTTTTTCCGTCCGGAATTAAAGTTCTCATTCTACTATTTTATTCCAATTCTTCCAAAAATACCCCTTCCTTCATCCTTTCCTTTATCTTTTCTCCTTGTCTCCCGTCCTTCTCCATTTCAATTTCCCAATTCTTGTTCTATCTCTTCTCCTCATTTTCTTCTTTTTCTTCTTTCTTTCTTCTCCTCTTTGTGTTCCTTTATCATTTAGAGCATAAAAATCAATAATGTAAATTTATTTTGATCATCTTCATTTATGAAGATTGAAGATCTCTCGTGTATTACACGAGTGAAGTACCAGTTTGGTTTTAAAAAATAAAAGAGAAGAAATCTAAAGTTTTAGTTCCAAATCCTCCCTCTTTCGTGTACAACCAAGGTTTCTCTTTCTCTCCATTCTTTTTCTTTTTCGGTCGATGATCACTTCATTTGTCAATAATAAAATAATAATACAGAGAAATAATAATGATAAATAAAATTTTAAAAATATTAAAAAGCAATAAAAAGTAAAAAATAAAAAATAAAAAGTAAAAAAATAAAAAAAATAAAAAATTTAGACCAGTAAGACCGGATTAAGCCTACTTAGCAATAGTCCATTCCAATTTCCAGCCCAATCTAATTTGATTTAGTAATTTGGTCCATCCATTCAATTAGTTAAAATAGCCAACGCAAATCGCAATATCCCATTCTTCTTGTCAACCGCAACTCGCAAAATTGACGCACGCACCTGAACACGGTGCGACTCACAAGTAAGTCTGATGTTCTCTCTCTCTCTCTCTTTTTTCTTTTCTATCCTTCAGTTCGGGTGAATCTCACTCTTCTAAATTCTAATGTTGAATTACTTCATAGTTTATTGAGTGTACGCGTCTATGTGTACTTTGTCTGTTGAATGTGCTAGAAATTTCCTTTTAGTTTTCATTTTTTTGAATGTATGTTTTGCTGAAAAATGCCAACGCAGATAGGCACATTTCAGCCAAAATTGCTTGAAATGTTTCATTTTTATGCTTTCCAAAAGCGAGTTTTATGTTTTCTGAAAAGAAAAAAAAAGGCAATCCGAAACAGGAAACCACCCCAACGGGTTTCAATCTGGGAAATGATACACGGAATCTGTCTTACATTGTATAGGATCACGTAGTCTGTTGTTGTGCTCTGTTTTTCTCTTATGCTTGTTTTAAAAACATATGATGAATTTGTTATAGAAATGGGTTTTTTAGTGCATTATAGAAATGGTTTGATATAGGATTTTTGTTGGTAAGTTTTAGTCTTATTTAATGTGAGTAGCTTCCAGTTTTTCAGTTTCAGAGGAATACAGGATTTTTTTTACTAATTACTAATTCATCAGATGTTAATTGTTATTAATTGAATTTGATTCACTTGTTTTGAAGATTTTTTGAAGTCATGTATTTTTTTACTTGGTTAGATCATATGTATAGAAATGGAAAAAAAGAACTTTATATCTTTATTGTATACTCCACTTTTTTTTCTTCTTTTGTTGTTGTATAATTTGTAGGCGAAAGAAAGGAATGGTAGGCGGTGGCAGAGTGATAGAACACAAGGCATACGCACGAGTTGGCCTTTTAGGAAACCCAAGTGATGTTTACTATGGGAACACCATCTCTTTTAGTCTTGGTAATTTCTGGGCTTCGGTGCGCCTTGAGCCTTCGCCTGAGCTGCTCATCTCCCCTCATCCTACTCACGATCTTGTTGAGTTCAATTCCCTTCACCATATGGTCTCTCTCTCTCTCTCTCCCATTATGCCTTTGAATTGTAGTGTGATACTTAGATTGCTATTGTTGTTGCATCTTGATCTGTGTCTTGGCTGCTGTGTTCAGTGTGTTGATTACTGTGTAGTTGTCTTCCTGTTACACTTGAGGGAGTACATTGGGTTTGTTGTTGTTCTAGAAGTGACCAACCCTTATGAACCTTTTCTTTACCTTTGGTTATTAGCTTTTTCACGTTATCTGAACAGTGACTTTTTTCTTGTATTTCTGCACTTAATGACTACAGTAAGCATTTTATTAGATTGTCAAAGATTGCACCTACAACTTGGTTAGTTATTTGGGAATCTTTTTAGAATGAACACTTTATTTTTTGTTTTTATCAGCCAGAGTTATTTTATTAACTTGAACTGCCTCGTGCTAGTTTGGTCATTTTTATTAGTGATACAACAATACTTTTGCTAAAATTCTTTCAGGCAGACATATTTCGGGCTAAAATGCTTTGAAGGGAAAAAAGATGCTCAAAATATTTTTGTTAATTTTCTAATCACTGATGATGGCCCATGCATTATACACAACTAAAAAACACTGCTGTTAAAGCTCTTCCCACTTCGACATCAATATGGTTCTTGTTTATCTATAGCAATTATCAAGTGATATAATGTGTTTTGACTCAGGTAAACCGGTTGCAAAATGAGGGTTATTATGGTGGAGTTAGGTTGCTTATGGCAATATGTAAGGTGTTTTACAATTACTGCAAACATAATGACATCAGTCTCCACGAAGAAAATTTCAGGCTCTCGTACGATACTAACATTCCCCGACAGGTGGCCACTAATCATCCCTTTTTCATTTAAGCACTCATTGTTTTTTTTTTGTTTGAAAAAAGCACCAATGTGCAGATAAGACATTAAAAGTATTTTTACTTGTAATATTTTATATCATTTTCCATCCAAACACTTCTTTTCAAGAAATTGAAGTAAATGTATATTTCTTCCTCAAAAAGCACTTATTCCTTTGAAACAACTAATCTCAAACACTAACATTTCAATGCACTCCTAAAAATCCATGCTTTTTATCATTTCAGACAGGTCTTTCAGGCTCTAGTGCAATTGTATGTGCTGCACTAAGTTGTCTCCTTGACTTTTACAATGTTAGACATCTGATTAAAGTTGAGGTCAGACCAAACCTCATCCTCAGTGCAGAAAAAGAACTTGGGATTGTGGCTGGTTTACAGGATAGGGTAACACAGGTCTATGGTGGTGTGGTTTATATGGTATGCATGATTAATGTGCGGATATTACATATTCCCTTTGCTGAATCATGAAATTTGTCATATAGGTGAGGTAAAAAAAGATCATTTGTAATCACATTATTCCCTTACAGGATTTTGGCAAGAGGCATATGGATGAATTAGGTCATGGATTGTATACACCCATGGATATTAGTCTTCTTCCTCCACTGCATCTAATCTATGCTGAGAATCCCAGTGATTCTGGAAAGGTCAGTGTTATGATTCACTCTTTCCCTGTTTAAACTTCATTATACTTTGTTTTTTACATGAGAGCTTTTTATTCATATCAAGTTAAGAAAAGTACACCATGTGAGTATAGTATTATCAACACAAGTTGTTTTAACCGTTTTCGTGGTACAGGTCCACAGTTCAGTTCGCCAAAGGTGGTTAGATGGGGATAAGTTCATAATATCTTCAATGGAAGAGGTTGCAAAAATAGCTGTGGAAGGGAGAAAAGCATTGCTTGAGAAGGACTATACTAAGATTGCAGAGCTTATGAACAAAAATTTTGACCTTCGAAGGTAAGAGTATTTATATGGAATATATATGCCGCATATTCTTGACTTCTTGTAGGTTTGCAATTTTTTTCTAGTGCTTTTTTGACACCCAACCCTAGTGTCATAATTTGACACACCGTTCCATTTGAGGGCCCTACAATGCTTCGATTGACACTGAAGTAGTTCCTACCCTCTCACCCCCACCACCACCCCACAAATCCCTCAGCCCCCCTTGTTTTGCCGATATGGTAGTATCATATCAACGAAACAAGGGAGACTAGGGGATGGGGGTGGAGCACCGTAAGACTCTTAAATGGACCGGGTGTCATATTATGACATGAACAATGGAATTTGGTGCAGGCAAATGTTTGGGGATGAGTGTCTAGGTTCGTTGAACATCGAGATGGTAGAATTGGTTCGAAGAGCGGGTGGGGCCTCAAAGTTTACAGGGAGTGGGGGTGCTGTGGTTGCGTTCTGTCCAGGCGGGCCGTCCCAAGTGCAGCAGGTTCAGGAAGAATGCAAGAAATGTGGTTTTATAATGGAGCCCATACAAGTCATGCCTTCATTCCTTAATGACACTGATCTTCTAACTCTGCAATCCAAATGAGGCCTCCCATATTTCTTCTTGTTAAGCTCTTTGAATAAATAAATGTCTTGCACATCAAAACAAGATGATGAACTTTTGAAAGACAGATTTTGTTTATTCTTTCTTTATGTGTACATGTTTGTATGGTTTAATATTTCAAATACATGAATTTAAGTCCATATTGGACAGGTTCTTCTATGGTGAGCCTTGATGAAATGGTAAAGTTGTTTCTTTAATTTGTGACTTGCTTGATGCACTTGCATTAAATATTTTGAGTCTTGAAGAAGTGTGACAATAACGAAAATGTATCTTTTCTCTCATTTTCTTATTTTTCTCATCATTTTCTTGTAATCCATAAAACATAAAAGAAAATATATTTTCATTTCTCTTGGTCTTTGTTTTGACTCTTCTCATTTCATATTCTTCTGATTTTTTTCATCCAAACAATGTGTATTACCCTTGATTTACAGAATCAGGCAGTTTAATGTACCCAAAAAAAAAAAAAAAAGAATCAGGCGGTTTATTTGTTCCATTTTAGGTCACTGTTAATCCATATTATTTATTAGGTTTGACTAAAGTAATTTTTGAATGAATTTATATAAAAATTGGGATAGAATTAAAAAATAGTAAAATTTATATATTTAACACATCAAAAGTTTTACAAAAACAAGAGGTGACTAGATTATATTATCTTATTAAATGAGTTACAAAAAATAAGTGAAGAACGTGATTGAAGTTTGATCATGTAAATAGTAAACAAACAATTTAAACTGAGACGAGGAAAGTACTAAATTTAAAAATGTAAAAATAGAATCTACCCTGAGAGTTACAAAAGGTAAAGACTACTCTCTCCTTCCCAAATTAATCGTTTGAATTTCTTTTTTAATTCGTTCCGAAATAATTGTCATATTTTTTACTTTTCTAATAAAATAAACAATGGGCCTGTTTGGGAATAGCTTTAGAGATTAGCGTTAGCGATTTGGATAAAATTTTAACGGTGCAGATTACTTTGAAAACGCTAACGCTAAACGCTGCCCGTAGATAGCCTTTTCAAAATGCTAAAGCTAATCGCTAACGCTGTTTCCAAACAGGCCCAATGTGTGATCTAGATTTTTTCTTTCTTTTAACAAATTTCAATTTTTAATTATAGAAATCATGCTAAATAGGACTAGAACATAGAAAAAGTACCAAAATAGGAGTTCTATATTTTTATTCTCGAAATATGACTTCGTACTGTGTAATGTGCACGTTACTATACTTTTTGGTAATGTGCATGACCATGTTTGGTAATGTAAGTGTATTTTAATTCCTATTTTATAAATAAAAATATGGAAGTCCTATTTTGATATATTTTCAATGTTTTACTCTTACTTTAATCTTTTTCCCTTTTAACTACATACCCGACATTTCAACATTTTTTAAACACCTTAGACGGGACAATAAGTTTCCGACAAATGGAGTTCAATTCCAATCTAAATTGACAATATAAAATGAACAACCATGCTATGTGTATATCAAGGGGCATATCCCAAGTAGTACACCACAAGTATGCACCAAAATATTAGTGCGATCAAAACTTTGTACTTTAACAATTAAAGGCTGCTTCTATGGACAAAGGATTTGTGATCTCCCAGTTAACTCGAGCTTCTTGGGAAATGCTCGTACTCTTGTTTCGGATCTTTACTCGATGAAGGTATGTCGATCAAATGTCTAAATGTTTGAAGACACAGTCAAAACTTTCGGGGGATCTTTATCGTGCCGCTCAAACTCTCCACTCTCTTCGCATTTTGAGTTTGAATTTTGGTGACATTGTCATAACTTCACATGAGGATTTTCTGTCTTGTGTCGAAGGCATAATTTCCTCTTTTCCAACACTTGAGAAGTTCATCATAGAAGCATGGAGCATGACTCTCGAGACTGCTCAGAAGTTCCTGTGTTTTCCTCACGCATCCCCAAAAGTCGAAATACTTTTCACTTGTTATATGTAATTGTTACTTTAAATTTATGGAAGTTATGACCCTAGTATTGGCAAGGAAACACCAACCTTTTCAAATTTCATAATAATGGAGCCTATACAAATCATGCCTTCTTTTCTTAATGTCATGAGCACATCAAAACAAGATGAATTCTTAACAAAATAGTTTCACTCTAACTGAATTTATTTCAACCCTACTTTTTTTTTTCAATCCACTGAGCATGTTGCAGGAAATTATACTAACATAAAATATTATTATCAATAATATAATAAGTTTAAGATGAATTTTATAGTTTACTTAGGTTGTCAGATTTCAAAAATCTTAGTTCCATCCCAAATTAACCCTTGTTGTTTTCTTTTTTAGAATGTTTTTTGTGCCTCGCCTTTTTTTTCTTTCATTTGCATCATTTTCAATCATACAATTTCATTTTTTTTAAACTCATGGAACGCCAAATAATGAGTATTAATTTGAGATAGTATTTCATTTTTATGAATAATCAATGAAAGGAATTTTACCGTTACATCTACCTGAAGGCTGAAACTGGCTAATATCTTTTCAATGAAAGGTCCGATCTAGGATCTTGCCGGTCAGGTCCCTGTCCTGTTTTCCGGTCGATCCGGATTGACTCTCTCCCTCTCCCATTCCCGTGGTTTCTGTAGTCGCCGTTCACTCTCCAACTAAAGCACAGAACCTTAGAGATGAGTGGAATCACTTGCTCCGTTTCAACCAAACAAATCTTTTCATGGCGTTTTACGTCTACCGATTGAAAGCTAGGGTTTCGAAATTTTGAATGCTAAGGAATTGCTTCATTTTTTCTTAGGTTTGGTTGAGATTGAAACCCCATTTTAATCAATATCCCCGAGTTCACTCATTTTGGGGATGTGCTAAATTCATTTGTTCTTTAATTTTTCATCCATAGAAAACTGCTTGGATTATGGAAAGGGGTAGGAGAGACAGATTCGGTGAACTCCCGGCTGAAGTACTTGACATGATCTTAGGATTCTTGCCCATTGTAGATGCTGCTAGAATGGCTGTTTTATCATCTCTGTGGAAGGATTCGTGGTTTAGTCTTTCAAATCTCTGCTTTGATCTACACTTCTTCTCTCACATTGATAGCAAATATTTCTCGTACTATTGCGATAGTGATATCAGGGACAAGAGAGTCATATACGACAATGAAAACATTGATATATTAGTCTCCGTGAGTTTGTATGTAATCAATAAAGTTCTAATGCATCACAAAGGACCTATTCGCAAATTTTGCTTCATATTTTGTGGTGAAGAAGGAACACTTAGATCGCGACTATTTGATATTGATCAATGGCTCTCTTTTGTCACACAAAAAGGTGTTGAAGAAATTCGCCTTAGTTTTTACCAAGAAGATGAGTTCTTACTGCCGAACTGCGTCTTTTCATGCCCAACACTCAGGAGGTTGCATCTCGCTGGAGCCTCTTATGACATAGCCATTGCCCCTCGTGAACTTATGAATTTCACTGAACTTTGTTTTACAGCTGTTGAGTTTGAGCCTAACGGTCTTCTAGGTCATACAATTGAAGCTCCTATGCTTGAGGATCTCTCATTTTACGCATGTTCTCAAACCATGTTCTATTTTAACGTAAATGCTCCAAAACTGTGTACGTTAACAATTCAAAGTTGCTCCTATAATCAAAACATTGGTTATCTCCCTGATAACTCGACCTTCTTGGAAAATGTTCGTACTCTTGTTTTGGATCCTTTCTCAATCATGGTATGTTAGCCACCATCGTTTGTTTTCTATGTTATTTGCTCACAATTACTTTAGGTATTGATCTTTCATTTGTCATTGGATTCCAAGTATTTTTTGAAACCGTTTAGTAGAAGTGGGATATCACTACAACGGTGTGAACTAAATGTGGAGTGCCTGAAGCTGCTTGATGACCCACTACATTGCGACCCAGAGAGGGAGTGGGTTGTATATCATGATATTTCTTTTGCTTTCATTCGTTTGCTGCAAATCTGCCCAAAACTGTGCAAACTTCATATGCATATACAGGTAACTACATTTTCCTTGATGAATTATTCAAAAAATGTGCACTTGATTAGTTGCTTCGCATCATTGTTGTTGTTGTAATGCAACTTAGTTGGGAATTCTAGTGATCAATGAGTTCCATTTTTCCTTTTTTTGCCATTGTTGCTTTCTCTGCAGGTTGTCGAAGTGGTGGCAAATTGTTTAAAGAGAGACTCAGAACTTTCAAAGGAACTTTATTGTGTGGCTCAAACACTCAACTTGCTTCACACTTTGAGGGTGAGTTATGGCGGGCCACACTACAGTTCACTCGAGAAGTCGTTGTGTTGGCTCGAGGGATTACTTTCGTCCTTTCCGACACTTGATAAGTTTGTCATTGGAGGAGGGGGCATGAATCGCAAAAATATTCAGAAGATTTTGCGTTTTCCTCGTGCCTCCCCAAAAGTTGAAATAGTTTTTGTCAAATAAACTTATCTTTTTTATACTCTTTTTAGCTTTACATCTAGGCTCTATCCCTCTTGCTTCTTGAACCTTATCTTCCATAGTCAATTAACTGATGTAAGAGCAATGCTTGTGCCACTAATATGTGAGCTAGCATATTCACTAAGAACAATCTAGTACTCCCTCCCTCAATCTCTCTCTCTCTCTCTCTCATCATATATCATATTTTTATATGTTTAAATATAACGTTTGAGATTATGTTTGCATTAATTATGCATATTTACACCAACGTTAAAAGTTACTCTTGAATAATATTTTTCAAATTGTTAAAGCTAAGAGTAATGGTAAACAAAGTGTATAAAAAATCAAAAGAAATATTTGAGTTACACTAGTGTTAATAAACTAACTCAACCATAATCTCAAGCTTAGAGTTGTGGCCTAAGAAATGTTTTTTTGTATACTCTAAGACGAACCTTTACGTGCAGGCGTGAGTTCTTTAATCCTTGCACGTGATATTTTGTCAAAAAATCAATTCAATCAAAAGTTTAAGTTTGTAATTGTGACTCAAGAAAGGATTTTGTATACTCTAACATGTCCCCTCACGTGCAGGCATCACTTTGCCTTGCACGTGATACCCTTTTTTTTATTAAAATTAGATGATGCTGAGTTTTGAACTCGTGACCTATTGGTTATCAAGGTTTCGATATTATATCAAAGAATCAATTCAACCAAAAAACAAACTTATGAATCTTAACATACACCAAGGTATATCTCAAATTGTACATCAACCCTCTTTCCATATCATAAATTTTGGTGTGAATAAAAAAAATTAAAATGTAAATAAGAAGTGTGTGATAGGAGAAGTGTTAAGTGAATTGTATAATTTGATATACTCCTAATATTGGTCTAAAATTAAATTTAACATCACTCCATTATGAATTTGTTCTATTCAATTTATTTTTATTATTAATTTTTATTAATATAAGATGAATCAAAAACATCTTTAAATATAACTACAATTAGATGCGACCAAATCACAATTAGATGCGACCAAATCAAAAAATCAAATAAGTTTCAATCATATCAGATGAAAACAAAGAAATCACTCTGAGTAAAAACATAGTCTTTATCCCAAAAATAGAAGTGTATGTAATCTTGAGATTTGATTGAGGTTTATTCTTGTAAGGTGATAAAAATAAGGTTATGTTTTTATTTTATTTTTATTACTTATTGTTATAGTGTATAAAGTTATATTTTTTCCAACAAGTTTTTTATGACTTCATATATCTATTTTACTTTTTTTTTTGAAAAATGATATATATTTAAATTTTTTAATGTTATTCATAATATTGTCAAATGTATTAACAAGTAACTAAAAAGTGAAAATAAAGTCTTCTAATATCTTTATTAATTAATGTATGGGAAATTTACCTAAATGGTACTGAAACATAGTGACTTTTCCAGTGTAGTACGTAGTATTATATATTTTTATTTTCCAATGTAGTATCATTGGTCAATATCTACTGAACATTGTTCAAGTAAATGTCCAGCATCACTAGACATTGTTCAAACTATATGTCTACCATCACTAAACATTATTCTGGTCACTAGACATTATTCAAGTACTATATAAGAAATAAAAAAGTTTAAGTGATACATTATAAAAAGACATATTTTAATAATATTTAGTGCAAATTTCACTTAATGTATACGAAGTACCCCAAGTGTAATTTATTGCGGAGTATTTTATTATTTTTCAGTGCAAAATACAAGTGCTAGTAATATTTAACAAAAATGCTAGGGGTACACCAAAAGTGTACCCCAAATATCCCCCTCCCTCCATAACCACAAAAAAGGCATGTTAAATTAAAAAAAAAACAAAAACAAAATAAAATGAGTGGTAAAGAAGTATGTGGTGTACATTTAGGTATACCTTTGGTTTATCCCTAGCATCTCCCTTTAAATAAACAACAATAATCCCCCAACAAGAAAAATGCTAGAGGTACACCAAAAGTGTACCCCAAATATCCTTCACCCATCCATAACCACAAAAAAGGGCATGTAAAATTCAAAAAAAAAAATAATAAAAACAAAATAAAATGAATGGTGTAGACACATGTGGTGTACATTTGGAGTACACCAAAGGTGTACCCCTAGCATCCCCCGTTAAATTAATATTAAATTTTTCGTTTAATTTTTTAGTAAAACGATTCACATTGCCTACTAAAAAGATTCACATTCAATAGATGTTTGAAATAAAATTTATAATTTTTTATCATTCCATATTGTCGATTAAAAAAACAGGGGGCGTTGCCCTAAAACCTCATCATAGCTCAAACTCAAAGTGTGGAGAGAGTTGAGTGTTTGAGCCACATGATAAAGTTCCTTCCAGGGTTTTGACTGTGTCTTTAAGCACTCAGATATCGATTCGAGAAACTACACGAAAAAGGATCCAAGTGAATTAAACTAAACAATCACTAAAGCTCACGACAAGGCTGCGTTAATGGATCATAAAAATTTGATGGGAAGCAAATACGAGCTTTGTGAATAATCTGTCTAGGGAAAATAAGATTACCCATGATTGTATGTGAATTTCGCGCAATTTCGGGCATACTTGCAGCAAATGAATGAATGCAGAAGAGATGTCATAGTCCACTGAGTAAAGATCGTCTATGTCGCAACCTAATGGGTTTTCTCGCAACCTCAGGCATTCAACATTTAGCTCACTTGGCTGAACCAGCTTCCCCCTTCTAACCAAGGGCCCAAAAAAATTCTTCAAACACAAAGAGAAACGTTAGACCGTTTATAACAATCATTTTAAATATGACTGAAGTTATGCACACAAAGAACAAAAGTTATGGCTGACGTACCATGATCGAATAAGGATCCAAAACAAGAGTATGAACATTCCGCAAGCTCGAATTAACAGGAAGATAACCAATGTTTTGTCTATAAGAACAACCATGAAATGCTAACACACGAAGTTTCGGAGCAGTTATGTTAAAATAGAACATGGTTTGATCACATGCAAAAAATGAGAGATCCTCAAGCATGGGAGCATTAATTGTATGGTTTAGAAGATCTATAGGCTCAAAGCGAACATTCATAAAACGAAGTTCAGTGAAATTTAGGAGTACGCAAGGGGCATTCGCTGTGTCATAAGTGGTTCCAGAAAGATGCAACCTCCTGAGTGTTGGGCATGAAAAGATGCAATTTGGCAGTAAGAACCCATCTTGTCGATCAAAAGTAAGGTGGATTTCTTCGAATCCTTTTTGTGTGACAAAAGAGAGCCATTGATCAACGTCAAATAGTCGTGATCTGAGTGTTCCTGCTCCTATCCCATCCTCAAAGAATATAAAGACGAATTTGCGAATAGGTCCTTTGTGAAACATGAGAACTTTACTGATTACATAGAAACTCACAGAGACTATGATGTTGATGCTTTCATTTCCATATATTACTTTCTTGTCCCTGACACCGCTTGCAGCATAGTACGGGATATACTTATTTGTAATGTGACAAAAGAAGTATTCATCAAAGCAGAGTGTTGAAAGGCCAAGCCATGAATTTCTCCACTGAGTTGCCAAAACAGCCATTCTAGCAGCTCCTTCAATGGGCAATAATGTCAAAATCTTGTCGAGTATAACCTCCGGAAGTTCACTGAATCTGTCCCTCGTACTCTCCATAGTCGAAGTTCAGCTTTTTAAAGTTTCAAATTAAAGAACAAATAGGTCAGACATAATAACCCAACAATGAGTGAACTCGGTGATGGTGATTAGAATGAGGTCTCAATCTCGCCCAAAAAGATGACAGTTTTGTACATGAGCAACAATGACACGCATGAACAAGAACACATCCAGATTCAAATTCAGTTCTTTGACTATATTGAACATTCTATAGGGCTAAGGAAAACCCCTAATTTCTTAGCATTGTAAAATTTCAAAACCCTAACACTCAATAGGGAGATGTAATACGATACTAATCCAACCATTTCAAACACAGAGAGAGTTAATGGGTAGAATAGTGACTAGTGAGAGTGGTTCAAGTCACCTGAAGGGCGTGCCGGATAGAGTAGGGAGTGTGACTTCGGAAATCAAAAGGACTGTTTCACTTGGTTTGGGAGGGATGGAGATTGAAGGGCGTGCCGGATCATTTGATTCAAATATTAGCATTTTCCTAATTTACCTGGTCTCATTAATTTTTGTTGCGAGACACATACATTATAGAAATCATCTTAAATAAGACTAAAATATAGAGAAAAATATCAAAATAAGATTTTTATGTTTTTATTATCGGAATAGGACTTCATATTGTGGTAATGTAGTACTATACATGTGTACATTACTATATTTTTTGGTAACGTAGATGACCATGTTTGGTAATGTAAGTACATTTTAACTCATATTACGTGAATAAAAATATGGAAATCTTATTTTGATATATTTTTAATGTTTGACTCCTACTTTTGTCTTTTCCCTCATACATATATTTAGGAGTATAAATTTAGGAGGGTACATTAGCCCCTAACTAGTATATGGTGCATCCTCCCGTGCCTATCCCCTGGTAAACTCTATTCTCGACCCAATCTGAACCTACCTCCCTCCCCCTCCCGCCCCGCCCCGTCAGTTGTCTCTCCAATTGACAACGGTAAGAGTGAGTTCGGATTGGGTTGGGGTGTAAGTTTATCAGGGGCTAAGAAGGTAAGATTTATTAGTTTTTTAAACAGAGCACCATGACGGCCTCAATTTGATTGGTTTGATAATATGACACGCATTTTGAGTGTCAAAATAACCGTTTTGTACTCTCTCTGTCACTCCATATTTCTTTTTTGAGATGTCAAAAAAAACCTTCTTTTTCCTTTTTAAGGAAAATTTTGAGTGATTCATAATCTTTCTTTCTTTTTTGCATCACTTCCAATTATATATTTTTATTTTTCTTAAACTTTGCATAAGCCAAACTTTTTTATACTCCATATTCTTGTCAAAGTAAAAAAAACTAACCCTAAAAAATCAAATAGTCTAATGTGAATCAAATGAGGGAGTAGATTTTTTTTTACTCCTGTTAGAGTATATAACAATCATTCATGGGCCACAATCACAAGCTTGAGCTTTTGGTTGAGTTGGTTTCTTGACATGACATCGGAGCCTTGATAACCAAGAGGTCACGAGTTCGAAACTCACTGCCACCCAGATTAAAAAAAATTAGTTAAGGTTTCACGTGCAAGGCTCAAAGAGGTCACGCCTGCACGTGAGGGGGCGTGTTAGAGTATATAACAATCATTCTTGGGCCATAACCACAAGCTTGAGTTTTTAGTTGAGTTGATTCCTTGACAACTCCCAAATGAAGGAGTAGATAAAAGAAAAAAAAGACTAAAGTATGAGTAAAATATTAAAAATATATCAAAATAGAAGTTTCATATTTCATTTCCGAAATAGGACTTAAAATGCATTTATAATGTCAATCCTGATCATGTATGCTATCAAAAAATATTGTGAATTGTTCAGATAGAGTGCTACATTATCAAAATGCAAATTCGGGTATAAAATTATAAAATTTTTGTTTTGATTTTAGATAAACCCCATTGCTGCATTGCCGCTAATTCTCCTTGCGCACTCTCCACTCTCCAGTCCCTATCCCTCCCAAATCAAATTACAAAGACAATACCGTCTTTCAGGTTTCTGCAGTCAAACTCCCTACTCCATCCAGCACGCCCTACAGGTTAGTGAAATCAACTTTATTACTCTACCAATTAACTCTCCTTGAAGTCTCGATTGTAGTTAAATTTGCATTTTACATCTTCCGATTGAATGTTAGGGGTTTGAAATTTATAATGCTGAGAAATTAGGGTTTTTTCTCAAAAACATACTGTATATTAAATGTTCAAACAAATGAATTTGAATCTGAGTTCTGGGTTTGTTCTTATTCATACATGTCATCGATGTTCAGGTTCAAAATTGTCATCTTTTTGGCTGAGATTGAGACCTCATTCTAATCCCTATCACCGAGTTCTCACTCATTTTGGGGTTTTGTTTGACCTATTTGTCCTTTAATTTGCATCTATACAAGCAGCTTCGGTTATGGCGTGTCCGAGAGACAGATTCAGTGAACTTCCGGCTCATATACTTGACAAGATTTTGAGATTGTTGTCAATTCTACAAGCAGCTAGAATGGCTGTTTTGTCGACTCTTTGGAGAGATTCGTGGTTCAGTCTTTCAAAACTCATCTTTAATGAGTACTTCTTTTCTCACATTCGGAACAAGTATGTCTTGTACTATGCTAATAGTGGTATCAGGGACAAGAAAGTAATATACGACAATGAAAGCATCGATATTTTAGTCTCTGTGAGTTTGTATGTAATCACCAGAGTTCTCATGCATCACAAAGGACCTATTCGCAATTTTAGCTTTATATTCTCTGGTTATGAGGCAGGAGCACTCAGATCACGATTATTTGACATTGATCAATGGCTCTCTTTTGTCACTCAAAACGGAGTTGAAGAAACTCACCTTAGTATTGATCAAGAAGATGGGTTCTTACTGCCGAACTGCATCTTTTCCTGCCCAACACTCAGGAGTTTGCATCTTTCTGGAACCTCTTATGACACAGCGAATGCTCCTTGCATACTTTTGAATTTCACTGAGCTTTGTTTTAAGAATGTTCGCTTTGAGCCTATAGATCTTCTAAACCATAAAATTAATGCTCCCATGCTTGAGGATCTCTCGTTTTATGCATGCGACCAAACCATGTTCTATTTTAACGTAACTGCTCCGAAACTTTGCACGTTAACAATGCAAAGTTGCTCCTATACACAAAACATTGGCAATCTCCCAGTTAATCTGAGCTTTCGGAATGCCCGTACTCTTGTTTTGGATCCTTATTCAATCATCGTATGTCAGCCATATCCTTTTTTTTGTGTGCCTAAATTCATTCATTCAAAACTGGTAATAAATGATCTAACATATCTCTTTGTATGTGTTCCAAGAATTTTTTCGAACCCTTTATTAGAAGGGGTAAGCTGCTACAACCACGTGAACTAAATGTGGAATGCCTAGTGCTGTGTGAAGACCCATTAGGTTGCGACATAGATGATCGTTTCTCAGTAGCCGGTGATATTTCTTCTGCATTCATTCATTTGCTGGAAGTATGCCCAAAATTGCGCGAGATTCACATACAAGCATGGGTAATCTTATTTTCCTAAACATATTATTCATAAAACTCCTATTTGATTCCCATCATTTTTTAACATTTCTTGATGCATTGTGAGTTTTATTGATTCTTTTGTTTAATCTATCTGTGTTCTTTCTACTGTAGTTTCTCGAAGCGATGTATGATTGCTTAAAGACAGAGTCAAAACTTTCCAAGGAACTTTATCGCGTGGCTCAAACGCTCAACTCTCTTCACACTCTGAGTTTGAGTTATGATGACATTTTCATAACTTCGTCCGAGGATTCACTTCTTTGGGTCGAAGGGCTACTTTCGTCCTTTCCAACACTTGAGAAGTTCATCGTAGGAGGACGGGACATTAGTCTCAAGACTGCTCAGAAGTTCTTGCGTTTTCCACGTGCCTCCCCAAAAGTTGAAATACTTTTCACATGTTGTATGTAATTGTTAGTTTGAATGTCCCCTTAACCTTTCAAGGCGAATGAATTAGAAAAGTCCTGCTAAAAGTTGGCTTTGCTCATGTAAAAAAAAAAGAAGCCTTATTTTGGTTTTTTTCCTTGTCTCTGGATATATCGGGTGTATAATCATCATTTTCTATCGTGAGGTCACAAGAATCAATTAACTTGATTTATTGTACATGGATTTTAGGTCACTTCTCACCTCATTTTATGATAATTAAAACTAATAACCTCACTCGAACAAGGAAAACCTCATCCTTTTTAAATCTATTTAATTTATATATTGGTATAGTAATACTACCTCCGTCCCACTCTCTTTGTCCACTTTTGATTTTTGGAACTGTTCATCTAAGCACTTTGACTCATCAAATTCTCTCAATGTGTAAGCCTAAATATTAAATATAGTCATGTGTGATCTTGTTTGATTTGTCTTAACATGTAGATTATTAATATACAATTTCTATAATTTTTTAATATACAAATTACTAGATAAAATGGATTAAAGAAGTGCATTGGATGGTGTGCCAAAAGGTAAGTGGACAAAGAGAGTGGGACAGAGGGAGTATAAATTTCTCCCCCGTTCCAAAAAAAGGTTATAGTTCACTATTAAAATATTACGAATATTTTTGTTTATTTGTATGTTTTCATCGAATATTTGAGAAAATAAAATATTCTTGTCATTTCTTGTTTTGAAAAACTTTTGACGTAGTTTTTCAATTTTTTGACCAATCTTTAATTAAAATGAATTGAAAAAACTTGAAAATTACTTTATTTTACATAATGTGGCAAATATTTTGAGACGGAGGGAGTACAAAGGACATTTTCTGTCTGAATTTATCGATTGACTTCACGAAGTTTTTAAAATGTTGAAAAATAAAAGGTGAGTGGTGAAAATTTGTTTATAAGAAAGAGAAAAATTATGAACCCCATATTCATTACGGAGTATTTTATTTGGAAAATATAGAGGTGAGATAGTTTTTGGGCATTGTTTAAAAGCAAAAAGTGAAACAGAGAGGAGTATATCGAAATTCTACAAAATAGAGATGTCAAGAATAACTATTTTATCAAATGATCAACTAAAACTTACAAATAAACAAAAATTATTAAAAGACATAACAACATGAAATAAGTATAAAAATTATTTTGGAACGGAGAGATATTTGAATATTATTACTCCATAGGAGGCTTTATATATATATATATATGTGTGTGTGTGTGTGTGTGTGTGTGTATGTATGTATGTATGTATGTATATGTATATATATAGTGTGATTTTCTAATTTTTCTCAATGCAGTATCATATGTTTTTATTTCCGAATGTAGTACCACTGGTCATTGTTCAAGTAAATATCCACCGCTACTGGACATTGTTCAAATTAAATGTCCACCATCACTGGATATTGTTCCACACACTAGACATTATTCAAGTATTATTTAGGTTTAAAAAAATTTAAATACTACATTGAGAAATGACATATGTTTTAAAATTTTAGTATTATTTTCTGCAAGATTCACAGTTAAAAAAAGGCAGTGAAGGACAACCTTATCACTTATCAAATCGAATATGAGAAATGCTAGATTCACAAACAAAATTATCACAAAATTTACAAATTTACTACTCTGTATTTGTGAACTTCAATAAAAAATAATTTAAAATAATTTTAAAATAAAAATTTGAGGAATTTATATAAATAGCACTAAAACATAATGACTTTCACTAAATAGCACTACATGTGTTTTTCTTCCCAATGTAGCACTTTTAGTCATTATGCATTAGTCATTATTCAAGTAAATATTCGACATCACTGGACATTATAGACATTATTAAGTGCTATTTAGGAAATAAAACAATTTAAATGCTATTTAGAGAAATGACTTAAGTTTTAGTACTATTTAGTACAAATATTTCATTTTTTAAGCTATAAATGGTATCTGTGACAAGTTTATGATTTGTAATTTCTCTTGCAGCATTAATCCCGTCGTCATTCCCGTGCTCTGGTCTTCCAGTGCACTCTCCAATTTCCTTATTTCCCCATCTCTCTCTCTTATACAGTCCTTTTGGGTTCCGCAGTTATGCTCCCTTCTCCAGCACACCGTACAGGTTAGTGGAATCACTACTCTACCAATTTACTCTGTTTGAAGTCTCTATTCATGTTAATTAAACATTTTTACATGATTGAATGTTTGGGTTTTGAAATTTTAAAATTCTTAGAAGTTAGGGATTTTCCAAAAAGGGATAACATGTTCTGTACTCAAATTACTGAACTTGAATCCGGATTCTGGATCTGTTTCTATTCATGCATGCCATTGATGTTCGTGTTCAAAATTGTCATCTTTTTTGGCTGAGATTGAGAACCCATTCTACTTACTATTACATAGTTCGTTCATTTTTTTGTTGCTATGCCTGACCTATTTGTTCTTTAATTTGCACCCATACAAGCTGCTTCGATTATGGCGAGTAGAAGAGACAGATTCAGTGAACTTCCGGCTGATATACTTGACATGATTTTGGGATTCATGCCGATTGTAGCCGCAGCTAGAATGGCTGTTTTGTCGACTTCCTGGAGAGATTTATGGTTTAGTCTCTCACAACTCTGCTTTAATGAATACTTCTTTTCTCACATTCAAGACAAGTATGTCTCATACTATGCTGCTAGCGGTGTCAGGGATAAGAAAGTAATTTATGACAATGAAAGCATCAATATCTTAGTCTCTGTGAGTTTCAATGTGATCACTAGAGTTCTCATGCATCATAAAGGAGTTATTCGCAAATTTCTCTTTGGATTCTCGGATGACGGTCTAGGACCAGGAACAATCAGATCGCGACTACTTGACATTGATCAATGGCTCTCTTTTGTCACACTAAAAGGAGTTGAAGACATTCACCTTAGTTTTGACCAAGAATATGGGTTCTTACTGCCGAGCTGCATCTTTTCCTGCCCAACACTCAGGAGGTTGCATCTTTCAGGAGCCTCTTATGACACAGTGAATGCCCCTTGCATCCTCCTGAATTTCACCAAACTTCGTTTTAGAAATGTTCGTTTTGAGCCTATAGATCTTCTAAACTATACAATTAATGCTCCAATGCTTGAGAATCTCTCATTTCATGAATGTGATCAAACCATGTTCTATTTCAACGTGACTGCTCCAAAACTTTGCACTTTAAAAATTATAAATTGCTCCTACAGACAAGACATTGCTTATCTCCCAGTTAACTCAGGCTTGGGGAATGCTCGTACCCTCGTTTTGGATCCTTATTCGATCATCGTATGTCGGCCATACCCTTTTTTGTGTGCATATATTCATTTGTTTAGATTTATTGTAATAAATGATCTAACATTTCTCCCTGTTTTCCAAGAATTTTTTCGAACCCTTTATTAAAAGGGGGAAGCTGCTACAACCACGTGATCTAAATGTGGAATGCCTGATGTTGTGTGAAGACCCATTTAATCTCAATATAGATGATCGTTTCCTAGTAGCTGGTGATATTTCTTCTGCATTCATTCATTTGCTGCAAGTATGCCCAAAATTGCGCGAAATTCACATACAAGCATGGGTATTCTTGTTTTCATAAACAAATTATTCATAAAACTCCTATTTGCTTCCCATCATCTTTTAGCATTTCAGGGTGCAATTTTGTTGTGAGTTTTACTGATTCTTTTGTTTTTTCTATCTGGGTTCTTTTTCTTGTAGTTCCTCGAAGCAATGCATGAGTGCTTAAAGGCCCAATCACCACTTTCGAAGGAACTTTATAGTGCGGCTCAAACACTCAAGTCTCTTCACACTCTGAGTCTGAGTTATGATGACCTCTTCAAAACTTCATCCGATGATTCGCTTCTTTGGGTCGAAGGTCTACTCTCCTCCTTTCCAACACTTGAGAAGTTCATCATAAGAGGAGGGAAAATCAGTCTCAAGACTGCTCAGAAGCTCTTGCGTTTTCCTCGCGCCTCTCCAAAAGTTGAAATACTTTTACTTTAAACGCCCCCCTAACTTTTTAAGGTGAATGAACTAGAAAATTTCTTCTTGATGGTTAGCTCAATTTACTCATTCCAGCTTGGAAAGAAACACACTTGGGTTGGCTTTGCTCATGTTGTGTTTTGGCACAATTTGGCCTCCCCCTTTTCTGGTCTTTATATCTTCTTCATATAATGGAAAGCCTCTAGCATGTTGATTATAGAATCATCATTTTCTATTATATGGTTACAATAATCTATTTATTTGATTTATTCTACTTTGAATTTCACTCACTTTTCCCCTCAGTTTTTTTGAGAAATAAAAAGGGTACCCAACTTTTTTGGTATAAAAACTGAGGGTCTGTTGTTTGCCTGTTTTAACTCGATCGTTGATGCACTACTTGCACAATGACTAGCCAACAGTTTATACCAAAAAGAATCAAATGGCCCCTTTGTTTTTAAATAAAGCTTGTTTGGGAATAATGTTTTCAATTTGCTTTAATGGTTTGATTGTTTTTAAAAATACTAAAGTTAATTGCTAACATTTAATAACATTTTTAAAAAGTTAAAATTAGTCGCTGAAATTGTCGTGAAACATGCACATAAAGATGTAAAAATAGCTTTGTCTTGCTTCACAAACAAAATTGTCACAAATTTTACAAATTTACTATTTGTGAACTTCAATAAATAAAAGTAAATAGTCTAAACTAATTTTAAAATGAAAATTTAAACCATAAATAGTAAGTTTGTGAAGTTTGTAAGTATCCTGTTTGTGAACGTAGCATTGCTCTTATATATTTTGATTTTTGGGATTGGGACATGTATCTCTATGGGGACAAGGCGGAAACTTGAAAAGACTAAAGTTTTAAACTTTTTAATTAGGACTTGTTTGGTTAATCAAATAGATACGAGTTCTGATACTCCTGTATCTTTTAATATATTAGAAAATTTTGTCGGTGTTTGGTGAAGATTAAATACGGTTCAATTTGATATTTTCAAATATCACAACCCTCTAAATTAGGATGTTTTGATATCTCTTGAGTATATGAAATATCTATATGGAGATTTAATATTTTCCTCAATTGTCGACGATCCTCATCGAGAGTCACTCATCACCGACCAATCCCTGTTGCTGACCAGTGACCACTTGCCGCCCATCATTAATAACTATAGGCTCGTAGTGGTCAAGTTTTTAAAGATATGATATGTGTTCTGAAATTTAAAAAAAAATGATATAAGATCTAAAATCAGAAGTAGAGTTGTTTGAAAAATCAAAAAATTGAGATTTGGGAGATAAGCGACAATGGTCGGCTACGAGGGTGGTTGCGGCAGTGACAATTGTATGTATATATATTACACCTTATTAAAAGAAAGATATTCAAATATAAATTTATAAAAAAAATATGTAAGAAAATCTATATTTTACGTGTAGAATTAACTATTAGCATAGCTCAAGATAAAAATCGCTTGAATTGAAAATCCAATTTAAGAAGGAAAAAAGGTCGTTCATATAAGCTTCAAAAGAGCATCTTATACAACACCATATATATGCACGAAATCATCCTAAATAGGACTAAAACATAGAGAAAAGTACTAAAATAGGATTTTCATGTTTTTTTTCCCGGAATATATAGGACTTTGCATTGTGGTAATGTGACAGTGTACATGACCAAATTACTATACTTTCTTGGTAATGTATATGACCATGTTTGGTAATGTAAGTCCTATTTCGAGAATAATAAAAACATGGAAGTCCTATTTTGGTATATTTTCAATGTTTTAGTCCTACTTTGATCTTTCTCCCTATATATGCCTACATCGTCTAAACGTCCAACATGGCAGATTTAATTTCCTTCTCTCCCTAGACGCATTATCGTAATTTCTTGGCATTATATATACGGAGTACATTTTATTTTAAAGTAAAAATATAAATATTTTATTTTTTTTGATTTCATATGTTTTATTTCTATTTTAGTTTTTTTTGTAAAAAGTAATACTCCTTTAGATTTATTTTGGGAGGGACGTGGGAGTAATTGTAATGATAAGGAAAAATGAAATATAGATAAGAAAAGCGTAAAAAATGAACTTATAATAAAAATGGGATCAATTTGAGCATTGTTATATCCGAACGTAAATGACGGAGTATTATTATGTATAAGTAGTGTTACGTAACTATAACTCTATACTCCTAAGCCTTCTCTTTACCATATAAATCCATTTCCCAATTTTTTTTATTCCCTATTAAAACCGATTATTCCATATATACACCTTCTACACTATCTACAATATAATATGGCTCCAAAGAGCTTAAAAATATGCTCCGCCGTCCTTCTTCTCATCGTCCTCATCGCCGCCGTCTTTCTGACTCTATTCCTCACAATCTTGAAGCCCCGGCCGCCGGAGATCACCACCCATCCGGCGAACCTCCACAACGTGACGTTTGGGGTGTTCCCGACTCTGACCCTGAACGCCACCCTGAACTTGACGATCACCGTCCGGAACCCGAACCACGGCAGCTGCACGTACGACGGCTCAGTCGCCGTGGTGTACTACAGGGGATCTCCGGTGGCGGAGATCCCGATGGGGCCCGGCGCCGTGCCGGCGAGAGGACAGCACGATGTGGTCGCTCTGGCCGGCCTCATCGGGGACAGGGTCGTAAACAGCCCGGGCTTCTCGGCGGATTACGGCGCCGGGTGCCTGAACTTCACGTCGGTGGCGAACATGCCGGCGAGGGTTAGAGTTTTGAAGGCGTTCAAGATTCATTTGACGGTTGTGATCGATTGCGAGTTGTCTGTTTTGGTTTCTCCGCCGTACGACGTTCGGTCCACTTGTACCTCAAAACTTAAGTTTTGATATTCCTTTGGAATGTTTTTTCTGAGTAATTTACTTAAATAGCACACAATGACTTTCCCCTTTTATTATGTATTAGTCATTATTTAAGTAAATATTCGCCATCACAGGACATTATGAATATTATTTAAGTGATATTTAGAGAATAAAATAATTTAAGTGTTTTTTCTTAAAACACTTTCCCTTTCTATTAAAAAACCACTTTTACCCCTACTTTTTCATACCCTACCTATCACATCATACTTTTTTCACTAACAACTAAACTATGACATCTTACTTTTACCCATCACATCAAGGGCAAAATTGGAAAGTCAACTATAATTTAACACTTCCTTATTTTCCCCCAAAGTCAAAAGAAGAACTCTTTTGAGAAACGGAGGTAGTACTATTTAGTGTAAATATTTCACGTTTTTTTCCAATTCATGGGATGACATTTATTTAATTAATGGGAAGTGTTTGAAGTTAAATCTTCCAATCCTAAACAACAAAGTTTTAGTTATTCACTACATCTCCAACCATTCATAATCTTAAACTCATTCAAAATAGAGTAAATATCAAATTTATAGTATTCCATTTCTAATCTTTTTTTGAAGGCCCATTTCTAATCTATTATACCCAAATCAAAATAATATTCTCCATCAGAATATTTTTTTTGTTACTATGTATTTTAACAATTAAAAAGTTGTAGTAAATTAAAAAAAAAAACTAGTATGCTACAAAAAACAAGTAATGTTACGGGGTAATAAAAATATGGAAGAAAAATGGAGTACAATACCCTAAATTACGGCTCATTTTGGGGTCTGAATTTTTTTTAAAAAGGTTATTTATGATGATGAGTAAATAAAAATATTTTTAAAATAAAAAATATAAAAATATTTTTTTAATTTTATATTCAGAGGCGCTGCCCCCCAACCTCCATCCTACTCCTTAGTATGACCTTGCTTACGGTCACCTTTTATTTATTTTTGCCCCCCCAAAAATAAAAATATTTTTTAAAATAAAAATATAATACTCCCTCCGTCCCAAAAAGATCGTTACGTTTCGAAAAAACTGCGTCCCGTAAAGATTGTAACATTTGCCAAAAAAAGACCCATTTACCCTTCACTACAAAAAAATCGCGCATTAGGCACGGATAGTGTCGTGCCTTTCCTGATGGAAAGTAAACGCCACATGGCGCAATGCTGTGCAAGGCCTGATTTGGCACTGCCTTGTGCGTGCCTACAGTCCGTGCCAAAATCACACCCTTTACGCCGTCTCGTTTCCGTCGGACAACGTTAATGTCTAAAAACTGGAAGGGACAAAGATGTGCCAATTGCCGTGCCTATTGAATGCCAATAATTGTTTTCACTTTTGTAAACAGTCATGCTTATAATGTATGCCAAAAAACTGCTTCTGAAATCCTTATATAAGAACATCAGCCTTGTACTCTATTATAAATATATTATCAGAACAAATATTATATGCATTATTTTGATGAAATACAAGACCATAAATATATTTGGTGTTCCTGCAAATATTTTTCCGGTGTTTGAATTTAATTTGATTATATCCTTCCGGTAAGTATTCTTAGTATCAAGTTTAATAACTTAAATACTTATTTATTAATTTAAATATGCATTTGTTTAGATTATATCCATTTGACATTTTAATTATTTCAATGCAACACTTGTTAATGTTTCTCTATTTATGTATAGATATATATTATAAAATATAATATATCAAAGGTATATTTCAAAATAAGTATATTGAAATGAAGTTTATATGCTAATGTAATAAATGGTTTCCATAATTTATGTTAAAAA